AACTACATTAACCAGAAAGAATTTCAAAGTTAAATTTTTCATCTAGAGTCATCCCCTTTCTTTTAAAGATATCCAATGTATAGAAGATCGGCAATCTATTCCATTTATGGAAATGATTCTTTCGATCCGTGTCAAAGTTATATTCTTGAACTACAATCCCATATTTTGTTAAAAATATTCAACCTGTAAATTGAAATGTTTCTTTTACAGTTCAAGACTCTCTTGCACTTAATTTGCACACGTAAGGACGGTCCCAGTTATCGTTTAACTTACAGCGAGTATCAATTTGAATACCTCGTGCAATCTACTGGACTCGAAATCTTTGAGCTGTTGCTGGAACCCGACGTTTGGATTGGCAATGGAACGGCCCACTCTGACGACTTTGAGTGCCTCTTTCCATGAAAGATTGGTGGTACTCATAATATAGGCCACCGCTACTGTCACGCTTCTCGACATGCCGGCTAAGCTGAAACCGGATATCGTTACGTGAACGTCTCTGCTATGGAAATTAGATTCTCGATTGATCATTAAGGAACGAGGATCGTGTAAATAGGCTGCTCGCGCAAACTCAACGTTTCGTGCCTCCTGCTTCGCGGAAGATAGAACCAAATTACAGGGGAAAGAGTTGGATGGCACGACAAGGTCTGCCTTGATGTAACCTCATTTTTTTCAAAGTACAACGATATACAAAAAATTGATTGCATATCCTGCAATGTATAATTCAGCTTTCTTTCGAAGTACAATTATAATCTTTTCAGATGAATCAATTCCTCTTAACATTTCACGTACAAAAGTACGAAAGGCAGATATCGAATAGTAAGCGCAAAATTTTAAAAAACATGCAGAATCAGTTTAAAGATCTTTTTTTAGTGTAATTATGTTATCCATAGAATTCCCAGGATAGCTTGAACCAACGAATACAAATTTTAACGAAGCAACAAGGTCGAAAACGTTTCAACTAATTTTCATGGAAATCCGTGCACGATTTCATATTCCTGTTGTTAATCATATGAGCTATTATATCTCAAAATGGTATAAGTCCGTTGCTGTCGTGTATCGAGATATTTAAGAGTTTGCATTTGAATTAATTTAAATATTAGCGAAGGACAATCAATTCCAGTAATGTTTTTCAAACTATAAACCTTTGAAATTTTATTATAAAATAGTAATTTTAAAAATTATTTCAAAAATAAACGATTTTTTGTAGCTCCAAATGGACTTGTACCATTTTCAAAAATAACAGCTCGTATGTTCTCGCGTCGTTTGGATATTAGAGAAGCTGTACCCACCAGTGTATCAGGACGTTCCCACCGCGTAGACGTGCAGCGTGAATAAAGTCATTGCACAAGGAAAAGTACTGGGACAAATTTTGATCCGGGCTATCCGCCGCCAATATGCATAAATAATGTTTGTCCTATAAACAATTCGTTAAATTTAACGTCGTCTCTCCACGTGCGAGATCGAGAGACGTGGTCTTTTTTCGCGCTTACGGAATGCAATCGCCGCGCGGTATCGTGGATCGCCAGAATGTGAGTGATCTCGAATCGCTCCAATTGATCAGCGTCCTTGCTGTCGTGATAATTCCCGATATAAAGCCCGGGGAGGACCTATAGACACCAAACACAACAACACGTCACTCCAATAAATGTTGCATAAGCGGCTAACAAGTTGCGAACGTACGTTAGGACTGCCAACTTGGAGAAATATACAAGTCTCTTTATTATACGTGCTGTGCTAGAACGTGTAACATGTGCATTTCCAATGTTTGTGTATTTATGCGAGGGGATTTCTGAGGGGGAGCTTTAGAATTGTATTTTCTTAATAAAACACAGATGAGGTGGGACATATCTGATTTGTTTATTTATTAATGGAGGATATATGAGTACGGTTAAACGTTAAATTAATCCTGTACTTTTGAGAATGGGGATTTTATGCACATATAGAGTATAAAAACAATGTACGTGGGATATATACCCTTAAGCAAAATAATGATCGTAACATTTTATTAAACATTTGTCTCTATATATGTTTTTCATATTAACACACACCATAAGTGCATGAAATCCATGATGCAGTCATTACCTAATCAATTATTGTAAGAATTTGGTGTGTTATTTTTTAGAAGTGACACCTTAAATAACTCTACTAATTATTCTATTTATGTAATGTTTTCATACAAAAGTTACATCGTATCCAACGACAAATATGCTCCACACTTCTCTTTAATTTTTTCAAAATAAAACGCATATTCTTTGCATACCATGTTTGAGATAAGAGACATTCACTAAGGTGAATTTTGAAATTAAGATAAGCCGAAGACCTGTAGACCAGCTCCCAAGTGAACCATTATTATTTATTTCCCACCAGCAAATTCCTCGTCATCTTTAAAAAAAATGCGAAACGCCAATTTCTTAGCATAATGAATTCTTGCAAGGCTAGAATATCCATGATAAAGATCGGAAGACTAGGAAACACGTTATCCTTCCCAAGAGACGATCGAGGCAACCCCATCGCGAAACGGTGCTCGTAGAGAAGTGGTACGCAAAGCGCGTCCAAAGTCGTCGTACGCGAATAATTAATCCGAATCATTTCCCGATGTACTCGTCGGTTAATGAGCGATGCCTGAACACGCACGAGCACGATAATTTCGCGTTTTTTTTTTTCTCTCCATCTAGTCGACAGTCCCTGTTGCAATTAAGCGTGAAGAGACGAAGTCTAGTGGTGCTCGAGATAGCGTCGAAAAAAAAAATCGATAAAAGCAGCTTTTTCGATGCAGGTGTTCCGCTGTTAATCATTCATCGTTCGTAGATGATCACTCGAGCGAGTAGAACAAGGCGAGACGCGGTGTATAATCGTTTAATCGATGCTGCATTCTTAAGCGAGGTGTCTCTAGCCGAACGCTGGGAACAATGGTGCCAGCTCTTAACTTTTCATCGGGACCATCGATTAAAATCTTCATGATGCATCCTAGTTATATACGGCGGGTTACTTTAATATTCGAGCGCGATTTTTCACTTTGCCGCTCTATTACTTTGTGCACGATGAAAGAGTAAAGTAATTGAGGCACATGTTGCATCAAAACATTGAGTCTAGGTAACGAAAGTGTACAGTTTATTTATTTCATTGGTCATGTTCCTTATGAAGTGTTCAACTTTGATTTTAGTTTAGTATTTTTATATTTAATCATACTTTAAATTGACTTCGTAACGTGAACACTATTTTTATATTGGTTTTAGATGTTGAGGTATATTGCGGAGAATTGTTTTTAAATATCCTATTGGAATGTCGTTCCATTCTTCTAATTCACCTAAATTACCCCGAATTTTAAATAAAACTCATGTCTGAAGATTAAAGCACACCACATGAAACCTTAGGACGATTCTAAGGTAAATATTCTTGTATAATACAAGCTTAATATGTTAGGTCATTATCCTGACAAAATTTTAACTCGTGAATCTCCATATTCCTTCCACTTTTACACAAATTATTCTTCAAGAAATTTGAATACAGATTTTTATCCGTTACTCCGCAAAGTTCACCAACACCGATCATTGAAATACAGTCCCACATTAGTAACACTTTCTGCTCAGCGTTCAATGGTAGACCTAGATTCGACGTGTTAATGCAACATATGCCCTAATTGCTCTATCTTTCATCGCGGACAAAGTTACAAAGCGACAAAGTGAAAATTGCAATGCATCCGAATATTAAAGTTACTCACTGTGTATGAATCGTGCAATGCTTCTTGGGAATGGCCATTAAATCATCGACAAATGGGCCAAGTTCTAGATTCCATCGCGACGTTTACGCATTGGAACCGTTTAAGAATAAAATCATCCTAGCCACGCTGCAAAAATTCTGCGGAACATTTTTCAATCCTTTTCTTTTTTTTTTTTTGTCGTAGTGCTCGTATGTAGATCGATTAAACATAACGTCGCTGTGTAATGATTCGACGATACGTACACGTTTAAAGTAACGAAACGTAAGCATTGCAGAAGCACGTGCGCGATTAGCATGTTCGAAGCAGCGTCTGTATATAACAAGCAACATCGAGAATTGGGCGGAGAACTCGAGTAATCAATGACACGAATCACCTTAGAAATTGAACGTAATTTTACTTTCCTTGATTGCCATTGCGTGTCACAAGCGTTCCCCGCTGTTCGATTTTTTTTTTCTACTTGCGCGGTAACATCTATCGTACTTCCAGCCGTATTTCTCGTGTAAAACGAACGTCCTAATTGTCGACACACTTTTTTACGATAGACACTTTGTACGACACTAGGAAAGTTGCTAAATTATAGTAATTGCAACGTGGAGTATTTTGTGAAGATAGTATCTTTTACTGTGCCGTCAAGGCTGAGGGTAATTGTTCTGCTAAATAATTTTGGTCGAATAAATTGAAAGTAAACCATAGCTCCACGTATGTAGTTCCGACAAGCACACGCTGTTGCTTCTAAAGAAGACTTAAATGAACGAAATTTTGTTCATTAGTTTAAACATACCAATGTATGTTATACTGAATTTTTATTTTTATTCCAGATTCAATGTATATTAAGAATAATAACTGTAATTATAGACACTTGAAACGAGGTTTTACGATTCAGGCACAAACGCAACACCTTATCAAAGTGAATCCAAAGTGTCGATGGCTGGGTTAGCATCGAAATTAGGCACATTTAACTTAACAATAACTAGACTGCAAATTATATGCATTCATGATATAAACTAATACATATTACACTAATACTTATTACATGTTACATTAACCCTTAAAAGTGTCTAATTTGATACTGGACATTTAAATCGAATCGTACACTTGCAATTGGTTTGTTTTTAATATTAAGTTAAAAAAAATAATAAACGTCAGTTGTCAAAGTTGTTCAAATAATAAATACATTGATACTTTCTTAAATTTAATATTGAAAAATCAGGCTTCTAAACATTAATTAATTGATTACATTCAACATACATTATGCACATTTTTTGTATGTCTTTTCACGTTACCGTACGTCATAAACGCATAAAATTCGCAGGTTAGTAATAATTAACGATTCATTTAATATGTTCTATCAATTCAAGCATCGCATTGCAGCCGAACAATAAAAATCACTCGTCCGTGATTGCACTCCTTACCCTGTTCATGCCATTCCCCATGGTTCCAGCTAACCTATGGCGCGCGGAGATCCCCTCGGGCTGGAAGAAGAATCGTAGATTCACGATAAAAGCTACGTTTAATCGATCGTCGCGCTCGCTACGATTCGTTGATCTTCTATCTTTCGTCTCTCGAGCTTGCTCCCCGACGGTCTTATCGTTGGACAACAGTATGCTTCGTTCCCGCCACCGCAGCCCTCTTTCAGCATCATCGTTGAAGACAGTCTCACGCAGCTGTTACTAAATTCCGATTCACTGGATTACGTCGTCTAATTGAAACCCTCGAAGTCGTCGAACGTGGATCCTCTAAATCCTCTCGCCAATGTGTCCCCTTCGATATTCTTTTCATTGAACTATAAATTTAATCCATCTCTGTATCCCTGTGTCGCACTGTTCACTGAAAAATTCCTCTTCCCTTCCCTTCCCTTCCCTTCCCTTCCCCCCTCCTCCGTTTTTGTTTTTTCATTCGCTAGTAATCGTTCGGTGTTACGCGCAACGACATAATTACGAAATGCCAGAGTGCTCGTCGGTTTTCACGCGCGAACGGTAATGAAAAGCGCCAGCGTTCCTCTGCTATTTATGAAAATACAGCGAACAGATAAAGAAACGCTTTGTTCCGTAAAATCCCGCGTATGTATTAGAGATTAAACCGATTGTCACGAAACTCTTTTCAAGTGTGTCACAGCATGTGCGTTTCCACACTCTACCCCGCCGGGACCTATCTATACGAACGTGCAGCCTTTACAGCGCATTTATTCCGCTACGTTGCACTATAAACGCCTCGAGCGTACTTTGTAAACGTGCACGGTCGTGCTAGAGACTTTTAATCGCGATGGAATAAAAAAGAAAAAAAAGAGAGAGAGAGAGAGAGAAAAAATAATAATTTTGAGTCGCGGCCGTGCAATCGTAATGATGCATACGTGACATCGAAATTAAATATGCAAGGTGAAATATTAATACGACGTTTATCCTCGGACGAATCTACGTTGGCGTTGCGATTCCGATAATTTTACGTAAATAATGAGTAAACCAAGCGCAAAGGAATGAAATGGAATTTAATACGAGCACGGAACAATCGTGCGGCGACGAAACAATTTAAAACGCGAATTGTCGTTTCATTTGTTCCAACGGGAGAGGATATATATATTTCTTTTTCATCCCAGTCGCTGACTGACGTTTTAAATGCATGGTGCATCCGTGGAGAGAGCATCGTCTACAAACGGAATGAAATGCAGCCGCTGGTACAATCGTTATTTTCCCTACGGCGATAAATTAAAAACTTTTCGCGTCTTTGGTTTTACCGTATTAGTTGGACGACTGCCAAATGGAAAATCGAAGCTAGTCTTGCGTGTGCTGATCCTGCCAAAAATCAAATTTCGACGGGATAATAATTCACGGTACGAATCAACAAAGTGGTTTCGCGATATAAATAGAAACGGTTCGAATTGAACGACCTTTAAAAATGGAATAATCCAAGAATATTAATCTACAACGATTGCTACGTTATCGAAAACAACTGAAATTAATACGAGCAACTTGTGACGTTTCCAAACCAGAAAATTCAAATTAGCGTTAAGTGAAATAGATACAATCTCTCTCGTTGTCCCTACTTAGCGATTCATGCCTGGCATAGAAAATAAAAAAGCGCGATAGTCATCATATTGTCACGATTCGTGTAGGTTATCGAACGACACTCAAGGTCGTCGTTCATTAAACATTATACCCGGAAAACGTCGCATTAATATATTATAAATCCAGGGAACACTCTTGTATCACCGCTTTATATTGGATCTGTCAATCATTCAGCGTCGGGAAAACAAACACGATGCTTGGTTCACTGAAACGGATACAGCTTCACCTTTCCAAAAGAAAAAGAAAAAAAAAAAGAAACTGAATATGCTCTTTTATGCAACTCTGGAGCACAACATAAGCCTCATGGGGACGAAGTCCAGCGTTTACCATGTACACAGTTCCTATCTGAAAATTCCCGGAATTTTCGGCCACGGCATAAATTGACCTACGACTCGTGTGGTTTCCCTTCGAGTCGAGGGTTTGTCGTGATCGTGCGAGAGATAACGAAAAAGCAACATGAGATACATCGTCGATTACGACGATTCTCGGCAGGACAACCGATTGATCGAAGGTGAGCCATAATCCTCCGTACCTGTCGACACTGTCACGTTTAAAGGCACCTTTTTCTAATCGAACACGTTGTGCACGCACACGCAAGCAAAACAAGCAATCTGACGCGAACCGCGTTAACGCACTGGCCCCTCACGGCATCCGTGCGTTTTCGACTCTCGATTGGGTAGGAGGGTGCGCCGTGCGAAAACTGTCCCGTTGTCTCAGTAGCAAGAAGCGTTGCCAGAATCTAGGGGCACTTGCTACCGAGAGGGAGAATGAAAAAGAGCGAGAGAGAGAGAGGGGGTAGCGGCGGCGTAGACGTAGTGGGGGAAAGTAAGGCGTGCACGGGGCAGTAGAACTCGTTGAATAACGAAGGCCTACCACGGAAAAGGGTTACCAGGTAAAAGACGCGCAGATGATGATCGAAACGAACATTCTTTACGATTGACAAGTGGCTGATTAGTTTCTTTCTTCGATTGTTTCGATGGGAGACGTGTCAGCGCGACCGATCGTTGCTCGCAGTCTCTTTGACGGGCCAACGAAGGAGATGGTCAATGTTCTGTTCTCAAGATCCGAGTGAAAATTGGTACGTGTCGCGTTGACGATTCTCGTACAGTGAACGGATCCAGCGGAGATTCGCAATTACGTACAGCCGAGTGTCCCTGGAAAGTGTTCTGAACGAGCGAGGAAATGATTCACAGGCATTTCGGGCGTTTATACTCGCGCGTTTAAAGTCGCCGTGAATTATGAATGAGTGGTTTATTGAGATACAAAAAATCTGGAGTGGCGATGATAAGAGAGGACATGAGAGAAAAAAAGAAAATAAAGAGAAAAAGAGAGTGACTACTGTACCCTCGGATCTAGAGGACAACTGGTAGCCGGTAGGCGGCGGTGTGAGGAATATCACTGCGGCGCAGTCGCCGCTCGATAAAGCCCATCCTCTTGCTCTTTTTACACGTTTGCTTCTTCTCCAATACCGTGGTTCGCGGGCGCATGATACACCTATGAACCGCCGACCCTGCCCCACAAACTGAAAACCTGGTCGACTGAAAGTTGCGTTTGCGGCCAGCTCGGTACACATATACCTTTAACTAGGGTACGCTACCCATGTAACAAGATCCTAGTAACCCTGGGCTAGTAAGATTGTTCTTTACTAACCTAGGCCAACGTGCATGTAGCCACTCGAGGCGTGCAGTCAGGTTAAATAAATTTTCACATCTTTTGTGATTTGGCAGGGATTTATTAGACGTAGAAATTAACACTAGACCTACCACGACTGGTTTCAAACTTTTGTATACAGTTCTCATATGCAATATATGAATTATATGCATTTGTTTCATGCACTATTTATAGCCTACCATTTATTTGTTCAAGGAAACCATACATCTTCTAATCTTCCCCCGGTATCATATTCCAAAACAATACATACAGTTCTAAAAACAAAATATCAAAACCAATCGGTCAGTAAATATTTCTATTTAAACCAGAGTCATAAATGATTCAATATAAGACCTACCATGACTGGTTTCAAACCATACAAACCATTGTATACAGTTCTTATATGCAATATATGAATTATATGCATTTGTTTCATGCACTATTCATGTTATTGCACTTAACTTACTGTTGGTAGATTTAGTGTTAATTCTGTGCCTCTCTAAAGTAAGCCTACCATTTATTTATTCAAGAAAACCATACATCTTTTAATCTTCCCCCGGTATCATATTCCAAAACAATACATACAGTCAGGGCCGGCGTGACCTTTCGCGGGGCCGAGTTCAAAAATTTTGTGGGGCCTAAATTCACATTCAAATCCTACACTTAAATTTTACAACGTGGAATTATTTATTTACAAATGCTATATATTTTGTATAAGATGAATATTAAATAATAATACTTTGATGATTTTTGTCACTCTTTTCAATTTAATCATCGCTACTAAAAAAATGTCTTGCATCTCAGCAAAAATTGCTTCCATTTGTTAATGGTATCATCAGTCTGTAAAAAGTTAATCAAAATCGGTGCTTTTTAATTGAGTAATTTTCGTAGATCACGGGACCTTTTAAAACGCGGGGCCGGGTTCCAGCGAACGCGCTGAACCTGCCTTGCGCCAGCCCTGCATAAAGTTCTAAAAACAAAATATCAAAACCAATCCAAAACCAAAACCAAATAATCCATCAAAACCAAATATTTCTATATAAACTAGTCATAAAAGTATCAATATAAAGGTGCACAATTAGTTTCTACACCTAATAATATTCACATATTTGGAATATAAAATTACAAGCTACGTGTTCGTACATATAGATGAATTATACAACGCATCCACATCGCTATTCCAACTTCTGTTAACGGCACGACCTTCGAGGAAAGTTTTATGAAACTTTGAATGAAGTCACGTTTATGTACCTTGAAGGATCGCCTTTTCACTCTAGAGGTTTCAGAAAAAGACTTCTTGTTGCATATACTGAAAGTATGGAGCTTCTGGAATACATTTGAGAAATTATATTGAGAATTTTTATGTATAATTAGGTATTTACAATGATACAAGTGTAATTTATTGAAGTATACTTATATACTAATGTTTTATTTTATTATTCCTCTGGTGAATGAGAAATTTGTATGCATCTCATGCATTTCAACCATTTCACTTCGAATTTCGATATTATTAAAAGATGGACCTTCAAAAATGAATATTAACGTATATTAATAAAGTGAAAATATTAATAATGTAAGAATCAAAATATTTATTACGTAAATGTCGGAAAAAGATTATAATTTGAAAAATTACGAAAGACTGCGGTAAAAAAGAAACGAAGTATTTTTACAGTTCATGTGTAAAAGGAAATAGGGCGGAAAGAATCTTCCATTCTTATTTTCCTCCCGTCTCTTATCCAGCGCTATTACGAGTACGTAGATTCACTTTGCTCTCTAAAACAAGTACCTCTCGAGATCTTTTTTCCTGCTGGTTTCTCCGTCTTTCTTTCCGTATTTCTCATTACTTTTCTGTAGGCGGATGAGAGAGAAATAAGAGTTGAAGATGACGTGCCTTTATTACTTCTTGTACTCTCACTTAAGTTCAAGTACGTAACGAAAATTGCGTAAACTCGCTCATTAACGCAATTCCTAAGCGATAAATTTATTATATCACGAATAAATAGTAGAAATAAATGAAAATCTATAAAAAATAATGTCATGTACCGTAATTATTTTTAGAACAACCATACAATAAAATAACAATTATCGCATCGGAATATATTTCTCTAATTTATTGATATAAAGATTAATCGATATGAAAGGAAAGTAAAGAAGAAGGAGGTCTGGAAATTTGTCTAAAAAAACTCTCAATGTAGTAGTTTATTTATTTATTCAATGTAATACATATTAAAGTAAATACGAATACTGTTACAATTTCATACGAATAAAAGTAATAATATTACAGTAGAGTCAGGACCGATCTATTATGAAACTAATGAAGTTTAAGTCTCAGGGCTCACAAGTTCCTAATTTTTTAATTTTTTTATTTAACTACATTTCGAAAACGAAAAATTAACTTAACTTATTCTTAATTTTATCAGAGACTTCTGGTAATGGAATAATAATGACAAATGTAAGAATGAACACTTCTAGATATTCTTATAAATTATTGTTCTTTCGATTTCTCCGTAGGATCGCTTTTTGCTGGAGTGTTGCAGATGAACAATAAACCCAAAATAACGAACGATATGCCGCACCACCAAGTAATCGACGTCGACTCGTTGAAAACTAAGAAACCCGCCAGAGCCTTTAATGAAAGATAAAAATGCAATTGCATGGACGATTGTGTTTTTCCCGCTATTATTTTGATCTACAAAGAGAATTCAGTAAATGCTTGGTATCGATACAACAGCATTACAGAAAAGCTATTAGCAGTTCTCGGTAAAGAGGTTAATTAAAGGTTTACACATTAGACATAACTACCTACGATCAGTAGAAAAATGACGAAAAATTATGCATAAAGAGATGTTGCTTATTCATTAGAAGTCTGCACGGTCGTTGTTAACGGTTCGAATGTGACCAAGTGGATTAAAAAATAAAAGAAACTCATTCTTGAACAACAACCCCTTGAAGGCTGCTACTAATGAGTATAATGACAGCAGTGTCTTGACGCTAGTATAAAAACGTTCATTTTAAGATCTAAATGATGTACAGCGATAATTATATTGAAAAATAATAATATGTTTAGGTGTACAGGATTTTCTTCTTTTATACCGAGAATTTAATGCATTCTCTTTGTCTCGTATCGATGGAAAAGTAAATTACCGAGCAAACATAACTCGTGGCGGCGCTAGCGATAGTACATGGTAAAGAAGATCCGCTGGCATTGAGCGCTTTCACGAAAAATGTGCAGCCCACTGTGTTACTTGTTATCATCAGTACCAGAAGTATTCCTTTAAGCATTAACGCGACCTTATTTACGAAAGAACAATTAATGCTTTACAAAAGTATCGCTAGAATAGGATTTACATTCAAGAAAAAGGTCATGAACGATGTTATCAACAGTTCCTCTCACAGAGGACAGTGACATATGAAAGTCGCCTTACTTACTATGGAAACTATCTCGACACTTCCAGCAAGTTTACCGAGCACACTTCCGATTGTTGCAAAAAGTCCAGCAACGACAGCTAGACGCACCTTTCCATCTTGTTTTCTCTCTTCTGTCCATGTTGCCGTGGTAGACGTCGTGTCACTTTTTGTCGATGACAGCGAAGAAGAATCCGCTAATAGATTACGCCTCATTCCAAATAAACAATGCCTTTCTAACAAAACTATTCACACGCGGAGTAATACGAATTTAGTTCCCAAAGAAACGTCTATTCGTACTGCAAACGAAGTGTAATATTTCATAACCTATTCGCGATAATTCCAACTCTTTTTCTGGCGGGAATTTTGAAGTAATTGTTCGAAAGCGAAACATCTTGTTTGATTTAATTATTGGTGCCATGTACAAATGCGATCATATCGTATTCTTGATGTTAACAATGACAATTAAAACATTTCTGTTTGTTTACTCTACAGGAGAAAGAACGAAGATCAGACAGATAACGAATGAGCAGCTTCCGTTTCTATAATATACGTATACTGTTGTGTACACCAATGGAGCTGGAATTTGTAGTTTGAACATGTGTAGCTAGTATTACAATTACAAATGTTAGAGCAACTTTACATTTATTAACATTAGACTTCATTTTTCGTTACAATTTAATAGTAAAAATTTTACTTTTGCTTAATCTAAATAAAACACATTACGTAAAATGGATATCGTCACACGTAGAGAAATTTTTTTTCAAAGCATGTTAGACTATGAATAAAGTGAATGTTCGTTTAACTAGAATCTGGTTACTGTATCGACCGAATGCAAATGTATTGGTAAGCTGCTGCGATAAGTTGGATTTAAAGATCTCGTGATTAAATAAATTAACGCAATTGTATTTGCAAGAAGATAACAGATATAAGGCGGTAAAGATATCTTTATTCCCGATAATATGCTAAGCTTATATGTATTTTTGCAAACCTTGAATTCTGTGTAGATTGTAAATAGGTAGACGTCTGAAAGGAGATAAAATTTATGCATAGCGTTCGCAGGCGCATAGAGACAAGCCATCAAGAGAATATGCCAGCTGTATAATAAATTAAGAAATACTCAGATGACGGTGTCGCTATTTTTAAAGAAGAATGAACGCACGTGGGAATAATTTAATAAATTTGATTCTCAATTCTTGTTCTTACTAAATTAAAATTATCAAGAAAAATTATTAAATTACGTGATGATTAAGACTGATATAATAAATATAATTTGTTCAATCCCAAAATTGCTCAAAATATGAGTAAAATACTAAAAATAGTTGTAAATACGTGTATTATTTCTGGAATAAATTTATTCGCTTTTTCTTTCAGAGACTCCCAAAATTGATTTTGTCTTGGGTCCCACGAATATGTAGTGCGCCACTGTGAGCACAAGTATGTACCTATGTAATTTGAAAAAAGACGAAGTTAGCGCGCGGTGAAGGGCAACGCGCGAATGATTTTCTACAGGTAGTTTAAAAATGGCGACTGACAGGTACGCGTTTCCTCGCGTGCACGGCGCCGCAACGAGACCAGAAGCGACGTGATTTTTGTGAAATCGAAGCTGAGGGGTTCGTTCGGCCTCTCTGATTAAATTCTATTCGGTGGAATCATTGCGTTAGAGAAACGTTGGAAATTATGTTGTATTTTCGTTGGTTAACACGGCGACTTTCTCTCTGGTAACGTCGTACTCGCGAGTTTCAATTCTACTTAGCACGGGTTCGGCACGACTAAATTTTCTGTATTCTTTACGATCGTTTTCCAAGACATACGAAAAAGAAGAAAAACCGAACGAATGAACGAACGAACGAGCAAACTTCCGCATTCCATTGGATCACGAACGAATAAGTGAACGAACGAGGAATCGCTCGCCAATGTGAGTAGATATCCCGATTTGACAACCGCCAGTCCTAGAACAGATTTCTTTCACCTGCGTTAACTCTCGAGTTACGGATCACGAAGTGACCAACATATCTGCACTTCCGTTTCTAATTCACTTCCATTTATATTTTATTCCCTGTCTACCATCGTTTTCCCCCCTTTTTCGTTATCCTTACGCTCGCTTATTATTTGCTTCTGTCAGCCGAGGATTATGTTCGTGTTTTTTTCTTGTTTGTACGTCGACAGATAAGGAACAGAAAATAAAGAATGAGAGCAAAACAATATCCTTTCGTGTAGTATGTTTGCATATGTTATTTTCCCTCATCCATTTAGAACTTTTAATTGTGTAGTTCATTATGGGAAAGTTATATCATATTATGCGTAGGATAAGTTAAGAATTATTCACACTGTTTCATGGTAAATTAATTGTGATTGGTGTTGAATGACATGTTCTTTTTGTGTTGTTAATCATGTTACCAATTATGCAATTTACTTGCTCACATTTTAGTTAATCAAATTTTAGTAGAAAAATCATTATGTAATGAACTAGTTTACAATTTTAAGTTAATTTTTTGAGGATTATACGTTAATTGCATTATATAAGTTATTGATATAGTAGCTCGTTCAAAATTATCAGATGTGTATGTGTTTTCTTTATAACTTTTAATTTTGAAGTATAAGAAAGCATTACTTTATTATTGCTCATTCCATGATACTTTTGAATAAATATTTAAGAATATTTGTGTAAATATTGTGCGTTTATTTATTTAAATATTTAATAAGTGTAACAGAGTTTTTGGATAAAGGTATGATATCCCTCAAATGAAATACCCAATGAAAAAGTCACCAATTCTACAAAGGTTTCCGAATTTGAAAGAGCAAAACTTGAAAATTATGTCAGAATGATGTCTAATGTTTATCATAAAGTTTTTAAATACCTTGGAATACATTCACGGCTTTGTAAGTGTAAAGGTAATTTAACTAGCATCCAAATCCTTTTTTTAAATACCATAGTATTCCTGCTATTGCCATTCCTTTACTGTATCGAACATACTACCACATTGGGATTCTAAATCATATAAATAAAGTAAAATATTGTTAATTTTGTGAATAGGTAAATATTCCTGCAAAAATTATACATCTGTAGCTATGGAACATTCAGACTTGGTCGCAGAAATGGTGCATGTAGAAAGGTTAACAACTCAAGAAAGATTGCATTTGGCTAGACATAGAAGGCTTCAGCAGTTAAAAGTGTGGCGTCAGCGTGAGAAAGAATGGCTGCGGCATCAAACTAGACATACTAGTAACAAACGTCACATATATTTTAGTGACAGTGTTATGCTTTTAGAAGCTGCAGCACGGAATGACATTGATGAAGGTGATACAACATAAATTCATTAAACTTTACTTACTTATTTCTTCCAGCTTGTTATATAATAATAAATAATATTTATTTTAGTGAGACGACTTCTCAAGAAAGGAGTAAATCCTGACTCAACGAATGAAGATGGACTGACAGCCTTACATCAGTGTTGCATAGATGATAATGAAGAAATGATGAAATTACTTATCGAATTTGGAGCAAATGTTAATGCAGAAGACAGTGAAAAATGGACACCATTACATGCTGCTGCTACTTGTGGCCATTTGCATTTAGTAAAAAATCTTATTGCCAGAGGTGCCAATTTGTTAGCTGTTAATGCTGATGGTAACATGCCTTATGATATATGTGAAGATGAAAAGACATTAGACTGCATCGAGGGTAAAAATCTTTGAAGTATTTATAATTAATTATTCTTCAGGATAATTTCGTTTTTTTTCACTTATCTTTTGATATAATATAGGAGAAATGGCAAGACGTGGAGTTACTCAAGAGTTAATTGATGAAACTAGGGCTTCTATTGAAGTTTTGATGTTGAGACATTTGCAACATGTAGCTTCTATAGGTGGGGATCTTGAATATAAAGATCATCAAAGTGCTACACCAGTATGTGTACAAGTTTATTAAATATATATACATTAATTTATTATTTAAAAAAAAATATGTGATTTCTTTCTTTGATTGCAGCTTCATATCGCGGCTGCAAATGGTTATCTAAGGGTAGTTGAATTTCTTTTGGATCAACATGTTTCGACTGATGTTGAGGATAATGATAGATGGCAACCAGTTCACGCAGCTGCATGCTGGGGACATGTAAAGAAAAATTTTCTGGATGTTATTTAAATGACAAGTAAAACATACTTTCTAACATTTTTATTTCCTTTCAGCTAGAAGTTCTTGAGTTATTGGTACAAAATGGAGCTGACTTAAATGCCAAAAATAAACATGATGAAACTCCAGCTGGTAAAATCGTTTTAGTCAAAAATTCTACCTAAAGATTACAATATGACATAATACTAACATTGAACATTGCATTTTATTTTACAGATATTTGCGAGGATCCTGAAATAAGGGAGAGGATAATGGAACTTAAAACAGAACAAGAGAGTAAGCGATTACGAGAAGCACAAGGAAGACGAGTACGCAGATCTCAAAGTATAAATACACGTACTCAAAGTGTAAGACGGACATCAATCAGAGATAAGGTATTGACCACAAAGAAGGATGCTCAAGAAGAAGCTCGTCTGAGATTACAAGCGCAACAGGTAATGTAACTTTGGATATATTTTATATACTTAATTAGTATACAAAATTATCGGAATTAAGTAACGAAAGGACGATATATTTTAGACATATGTTGGCGGTTCTACTACGAATGTGCCTCAAACGGAAAATGAATTTAGCGCTCGAGAAAATACAAATAATGAGACAGATACCAATGCACCGCCAACGGCAGTACGTAAAGCTCCTGAAGGAAAGGATAATGAATCTTTTCTTCACGAAGACGTCGATAAAGAATCAGGTATATTCCAAAACATGTTACACTCGCATCGGTTGTGGTTAAGTAGAATCCTCTGGTAAATGGTAGATTTGTGCATAAGATCATGTAAAAGAAAGTATAACGTGTTGTGTCAATTAAAATGGTGCGTTCGTAACGCATAACTTGACCTTGGTAACGTGACATAGTAATTAGACTTTCACAATGTAATATGCGCGTATTAGGTCGAAACAATATTCGTTTGTGTTTTGATATAATCCAGGGAACTTCCTACTTCAAAGAAGTATTTGCCATAGATTAAACGGAAGTCAATTTCAGATCTACAACTAGAAGTGAAGTTTATTATTCAAGATGAATGTGCATTTTTATAGTAGTATAGAACTAGTATAGTAGCTTTTACTGATAAATTATCAAGCAAAATATTATGTATTGATCGTTTATCAGTCATTCTTCTTTCTGTTATTACTGCGTCGTGATCCTGAATATTTGCGAGGTTAGTTTTCTATGTCACTTTTCTATTTCTGTAAACGTACTATTGAACGCTGCGTTTGTATTATTTTCAAACTTTCTACATTATCGTATGTTTCAAAATATTGGTCCATAACGTATTGAATTATCTCTATATGTTGTATGCATACGTAATATGTTTTTCTCTTTAAAAATATTCTTCTGGTATGGAAACGTTCGTTGTTCCAACTATATACATCGAGGTTTTTGTGGCAAGGGTTAAGTTGTGTTGGCTTTCTTTTTAGTACTTTGCAAATCATATGTTAGCACTTAGCAGAGCTTATTGACTGTTGTATGCGAAAAGACATTACAATAAGTATATCAATTAATTTAAACAGAGTTCTGATATCATTCTTTTTATACTTAATACAGTTTAGAGTGTTCTAAACTTTAACGCACATTTACGATACTTAATATTCTCCAGGTATATGAGTAGAATCATGATAAGCATTTGCATACATTTGAATATCTTTCCCAATGTCACTTTTTAAAATAAGTAGGTAATTAGCGAGGTAGCAACGTTTAATAATGGAATTTTCAATTTTCCATTCTTCAGTCGAAAAGTTAACTAGATATTGAACAATTCATAATTAATATTCAACGAGCAATTTCACATATATTTACAACATATCGTATAATAGAATGTTAGTAAAATAAAATGTATTCCACCTATTAAACATATCGATCAACTTTTATATATGTATTAGATCTGTGAGAAAGTTCTGTAACTTTTTCCATTTACGTTTTAATAGTCGTTTTTGTAATGTCTAATGTTATTTAAGACTGTTTACCATTCTTAAATTATCTTACATGTTCTATTTATATATAAATTTACACTCTGTCTGAGTAAATATTTCCTTTATATAATTTTCAAGTCATCCAACTGCTTTTTTATAATGGATATTTTTCTTTAATAGATTATAATAATCATAACATTAGAAGTGTTCTTTGAACAAAATTTTGTAAACAAATATGTTCCATTTCGTGAGGAATTATATCACTTTATAACTTGATATGTATACAATCAACCAATGGAACACTTGAACATTCAGACCAACAATATTATGTCATGAAAAAGTGTGACAAAATTTTTTCACGGACCTAACATATCGGTTGCACTGATGACAAAACTGTATTCACTCATTGTTAGCTATGTACTCATGCAATGTGTCTTCCTGTCTTTTAATTCTATCACTAAACGATAAAGTCGTTACGAGGTCAGTTGTGTCACGACATCAGATCGTTTCACATTATCAATTTTATATAGTCGTTCATGGACTTCTACTACAGATTCCACATCAAATCGATCATAATGGTTCAACGGGTTTACAAGTAAAAAATAATCTACTCGAAATGATTCTTACTTAATTTTTCAAATTAATGTGATTACAGCTGACTTGTGTTTTTGTAAACTATAGAAAAATAAATTTTAGATAAGTAGATTTGATTTATTGTTATTAGAGAAGATGAACATGAAATATAAATTATAAGATACTAATATTGAATAACGTTATGTAGTAAATTGGTTACTATTAAAAAATAGTTTAATCCATGATTGTTTCGTTATAATATTTACAATGTTTACTGTTATACTTTAATAAATTTAAATATATGCGAATTAAAATTAGTACTCGAAAAAGTGATTGATTTGAGATGGTAACAATCTATTATAATAAAAAGGATGTTGTTTGCACATCGACACAGCACAAAATAATATTAATTCATATTTCAAGGAAACATGAAGTAAGTGATTTCAATGTTCCAGAGAATTCAACTATCATGTATGCTTTACATGTACGTTTTCTTATGTATAAGGGTTATTGCATACAAACGTTAGATTGTAAATTGGTTCTTTTCATTTTTCTTAAATGAATGTATTTAAAGTTAAAAGCTTGAAGATTTATTTTACAATCTGCCAAAGTAATAAGCAAATGTTACGTATGTTATCTATCGGAGTGAAGAAGAAACGAACGAGTCGCTGAAAAAGTTTCTTCTTTTTTCCGAATGCAAAGAGTCCAGAAACTTAATAATAAATGTAATGATCTGCTAGTGAAATATAGAAGGTGGAGGAGAAGGTGTTCATGTAGGTACATGTAGAATATAGAAACACGTTCCTGGTACTCCTATTATGCAATGTTTTTAACGCTTATCGCTAAAGCATGTAACGCTTAGCGCATGGCCACTAGTTAATACTAGCCGAGTTTTGTTTGAAGTACAATTTCAGTGTATAAGAAAGGGGATTAGGTGAAGGGTTACACGAAGGTGAAGTTACGAATAAGGTGGAAAAATGTCGCGTAGACCTCGAAGAAGAAAACTAGCGTTGGATTTACATGTTTGCCTCGGCAGTGACAGGATCCGATTCACCGGTCGGTAATCAGCAGCCTATCTACACACCGGACCGTGACACCAATGGAAAGATCAACATACACGTCTCTGTAGTTTTTGTCAAATCGTTATCGGATTTGAAGAAACAAAGAGCGCAAAATCGTCATATATCCACTGGTTCGATAGATGCCAATGGGAATGGTATCCCTGTATCCTCCATCGCCAATTCTGAATTCAACGCTGGCGGAGATTTTCAACGATTCACTGGAAATACAAGCGATATCGTCGGCGATAATCATTCCGAGAAAAGTTGCTGCATCGTCATGTAACGCTTTTCTTGCCCCATTCACTCCCTTTTTCCCCCGCTGCATTTAATGCATTTTAGTCCTGAATTTTTATAGTATATTTACTATTGTAAACACTCCAATCGATGTGTTCGTTTGATTAAAAGAAATCACCAACAATTGTACAGAATGAACAAGATTCTAATAGAATATGGTGTAAGCTAACACATCTCAATTTTAGAGGTTCCAAATATTTTATTGAGATATTTTTATAAATACTTATTCATTCTGCGAGTTCTTCGTTCAAATGTAAACAAATATCGTGTGAATTTTATTTACACGATGCGCTCGTAAACTTGAGATTCACGAATAGATTTTCAATACGTATTGTACTTAAACGAGTATTTAAGTAAGAATTGAGATGCGAGAGATAATTTTAATGAGATTCAAAGATATGTTTTGAAATTGTACAGAATTTTATTTATTGCTGCGTAAAATAATGTATATTTCGAACAGTAATTATCGAATTGTATATTGCGCAAAGCGCGCCTTTACAACTAATGTGTATGATACCGTACAGAGTATTTCCCGCGGTTTTTTTATGAAGTGTTAGTCATAAAAAATACTTTTCTATATTAATTTAGATATCTATATTTCTACGAACACGTTTATTTGTAAAGTTTAATGTGTGCTGCTCTTGCTCTATCATACTATATGTTCTATTTTCTTCCATTAAAATACAACGTGAATTATATGATATCTAACTAAACTTAATTTCATGTCCTATAGAACTTTTACATATTAATATTATTTTTAGCGTGATATGTGCAATAATGTATTTTACGGACGTCGATGAAATGTTCATTTCAATTCCTTTTGGAAACTGCCTAATTTATACACTTTATATGTTGTCTAAAAAAACGAAACTTTCTTGAATAAAGTTTTTTTTTCTTGAAAGAACATGTGGTCGCAAGAAACATTTGATAAAAAGTGTTATTTTCATTTGTAAATAAACTAAACAATACGTGTGCACTATCAAAATTGATAATTTATTTTTAACTGATATTGCATTTATTAAAACTTTATCCAGTTATAAAGATAATAACGACTTAAAAAATATTTTTCTTGTGCTTTTGTTCTAAACTTTTCGAATGTAGTTCAAAATTTCCCTCACATTTTTCTCAATTGAACGTAACAATAATCACGTGACCATGCTGGTTAAAGGTAACTCGATTTTTGAAGGAAGGTATAGCATTGCAAAATGTGCAGAGAAAACGGTAAATAAATTCATCTTATCAATTTCAAACAGATTCGGCATCGTTCGAATCGATTCCATCGTAAATGGTTTCGTATCGTTTGAACAAAAATTATTAATGACAAAACCGAGAAAGTACAGAAATTACTGTGTTTAAGCGCTCGTTACCGTTGCTTCGTGATGTCGATGAATGAACGGTTCTTCTTTCAGAACACTTGTAATTACGGAAACGATCGTATCGACGATGATTGTACCAAATTTAATCATCTTGATCCGTAGAAGTGTAGCCAGAATCGGATATCGCAATATGGTATGTTATCATTGTTGTTCATTTTTCTACGACTCAAATATCTAGATTATGCTCGATTAGAGCAGTGGTGCACAAAGTTCGACCCGCAGTTTATTCAACTTACAAAATAAAATTCATACGCGAAACTTGGCCTGCAAATATATCTTATTTGACTTACGAAAAAAAGATTGTGCATCACTGGATTAAAGTCACTGTGTTACGAGATTTGACGTATTGATTGCGGTGACTTGCGATTGCTTTGCCGTCACTCGTTTTTAATAACGAAGTTATTAATATCGTGCACGATTAAAGTTTACAAATTAACCCATTAAACGTATGCGACGTAACTGTTTAATGAAATTGTTTCATGCAAAGATAGACGGAAAATAGAAGATACGTTGGTAACCTCCATGTGGAATGGATCAATGGATGTCATGAAAGCACCGCACTTTTTGAATCGTGAGAGCAACTGAGTTTAGCGTGGATGATACAGATATTACATCAGTCGGTCCAGCAATTGTTATCTAGTTAAATGGACACATGTGGTATTCATTTTCTGATGCAACTTACACTGGACGTATCGAATCCCATTTAAATCGACAATCAATACAATTTGTACACAACGAAGTTTGACGTTTATTAATGACTGTGTTCAGCCACAAGATAGGTTAATATCGCTTTTTTTCAATCCCGTTAATTTCTAGGTTATATGCATGTACATTCCAGCCTTGAGACGCTTAGAAAACAACATCAAGAAATATTTCTTAACGCACGACCTTCAAATCTACTTAATTCGATAGATAATTCGTGAATTACGTGTGAGAAAAAAAACGAGGTCTAGTGTCGTGTATATGTATACCGACACGATCGGAGCACGTTTATCGTTAGAACAGTGACGCGTTATACCTCCATGGGCCCTAAGACAACATGGAATTTAAAACCTCCGTTTAAAGAAAAAACGAATAGACAATATGTTTAAACTCAATTGTATTTTATAAGAGAAATATTTATTTGAAAACAATAATTCAGAGTTAATACCTTCATGGGCCCTAAGACAACATGGAATTTAAAAGCTCCATCTAAAGAAAAAACGAATAGAGAAAATGTCTAAATTCAATTGTATTTTACTGAAACAATGAAAGAAATCAATCACAGAACATAAGAGAAACATTTATTCGAGAACAATAATTCAGAGTTAATACTGAAACAAATGGGAAACATTAAATCTACCGTTGCAAGTTAATCTGATGACCTCCTTTGATGGGGGGCCCTTCGGAGATGTTCTTCTCTACTCGTAGGAAAATGCGTCACAGTATTCCAGGATACTATTTCGTCGTGTCAAAAAGCACGTTTCTCGTTTTCGGGCGATGAGTAATGACTGTTTCGGTGAAACCTGCGAGTAAGAATACTATACCAACGGAATTGGTACTCGTCGAATTAAAGCTTGAAACGTGTAAGAATGAAAGATTGAAAATGATGTACGAAAGGGGAGTAGTTGAGGAGTAGGGGAAGAAGGAGGTGGGATAGAGTAGATAAAAAGTAGAGTTGCTCCGAAGCACGCGGTAGTTTCTCGTGTTCCTTCCATTTATCGAGGCACTTTTTGACTAAATTTTTGAGTGAATTTTGTTTCGATATCGTGTTGCTCTCTTTTTTTTCGTCTCCCCTTAATCTCACTGCCTTTTTGTAAATTAAGGTAATACAATTTTTTGAGTATAATACAAAATTCGGGTTACTTTCAGTTTAATTTAAACTAAGAAACGATCTCAGTATGCACAGGTGAGCTCTATTATAGACACAGTCGACCACAATGCTATGTCATTAATATTAACTGGGGGTTATCGCAATGATACATTGATTACTTCGAGCGTAATCAAATGAATTAACGTAAGATACATCGAAATCTTGAAAATCGTATTACATTATTATTACGATTCGATACGTTCAATCTTTTTCTCTCATTTGTTGATCGTTCGATTAAAAAATTTCTAATTGAATAATCGCTTGGAAAATCGATGTCTGTATTCAGGCATTCAGTGTGTGGACCGCGTCGCGTCGTCTTCTATGCAGAGTGTATCGTATAACTAAATCGTCTTGATCATTTCCGTTACTCCGAAACGATCTAAATCTTTTATGTTTCGACATTTCACGTTTTCACTATATTTTTCTTTTTACAAGTATTATTATTATTATTTTTATTTATTTATTTTTCTTTTATTAGTTTAATATTTCGATTCGTAACGAACCGTACAATCTTCGTAAATTTTATAATATTTTCGTAGATCTTTAAACAATGCCATCAGTCACAATAACGTATAACAATGTTTTGTTACGTGTTAAAATGTTCGAAAGAGGTGAGCGTTCGTTCAAGTACGTTCAAGTTGTTGAACAGCATTTTAAACACTCTGTGAGATTGACAGCCTTCTGAACACGTTCCTTTTTGAATGCTCCGTTCCATTGTGCCTTTCATTCTAACAGTGAAAATGTATTGCATAGGATACACGAAGAATTAAAGAGAGAGAAAACTGTTTGAAAATTTGTTTCTTCGAAGCCTCTGACCGTTTTGAAAATAGTGATTGACAATTAGAGATGGGCAGAATTTTATGCAAATAATAATAGATAATAAATAAAGCCAACATATTGCAAGCTGCTTCAATTTATTCAATCGTTTCGTTTAATATTCGAGTTATAAATAATATAGAACATTTAATTATTGGATAAATATGTTTTTTATTCGTTAGTCGAAGCTTCTATCCTCGTTGACAACCACTAAAATAAATATATTTTTTTTTAAATAGTTGGTAGTTAAACGGCTATTGTAAATAAACACCATGAACAATACATTACGTTAACGTTGTAGATATTTCTGAAGGAAATTAGATAAGAGAAAGCATTTTCAAATAGTCTATTTAAAAGCGGCGATGATCAAGGTGATCAAGTTGTATGGTTCACCCTGTATATGTATTTTTTTTTGTAGGCGGATCGGACCTGTACCTTATACATACCGGGTGTCCTGAAAGAACAGGAATTTCTGAATGTAAAACTGCGAGGACAGTGAACAGTGTTAAGATAAACCTTTAGGGTAAATGATCCCCGAACAGAAAATAGTTAAAAATGTTAGATTTTGTCGGCGCCAAAATGTTTAAAATCGTTTCGTGTCTTATCCTCCTTTTGGGCGTAAAAGAGGTAAACGCCGCTCATTTTCAAAATTGTACAAGTCGCAAAAAAATTTTATTTATATTACACGCGTATTCATTATTTGTCCCTTTTCGCGTACATCTCTCGAATGCGATTTGTCAAAGTGATGAACAAACTGTATGAAATTTTAACGATTAATATATTTTGTATGATTATAATAATGTTTTAAATACGATCCAACCAATTTATCCATCATTTCGACAATTATAATCACAATACTTTTGATTACAAATGCGGATTTACTCGAGAACGAACAAAATAATAAATACGCATGCGATACAAAGACAATAATGTAAATTATAATAATTGATGTAACATAGATTTATTAATCGAAACGTATGTAAATTGTACTAACGGTAACGGTATACTAAACCCCCTATTCTATTTTCACAAATTATATACCTTTTGTATTCTTTATGATAATCATTTTTATAGAACGTATATTTAAAATATTTGTTGTTGCGAACAGGTGGTGGGAACTGTAACTGTGACGTCAAATTGTTGTTTTGAAAAATTGCTTCGACGTTGTTAAGTAAGATTTTGGTCAGCTAAGATCAAGACGCGATGCCAAATTTTATTTTTGTCAAGATCGGGGCACGGCGATTGTCCTACAGAAATCTTCACCAATGGAAACTTTTATTTCTCGTCGATTATTTACCGTTATTTAACAGGTTTCGCGCCCATTTATAGGACCAGATCGAAGTAATATTTCCACGACACGTGGAGCGTTATAGCTCATGCTCGCTACTCTTGCGATAACACTTTGGCTTTGGAGGATGTAGATCTTCATTTTTTCCCGGAAATTTCTTTGAAAAATATTAATAATTGATACAGTTATAACTACACTGCGGATTTTATGCAATTATAAAATAAAATAATATAGAATACTGTATATAAGATATACATACATAATAAATGTTGTATACATTCTACAATTATTATAACAATATTGTCATTTTACTTTGCATAAGTGCGCATATTAGTTTATATTACTTTATATCGCAAATGCATAATATCCGCAGTCTGGTTGCAATACCTTTTTTCCAACGTAACGCGATATCTTCCAGAAGCCAAAGTGTTAGTGTCATCATCTGGTTTATTAGATTTCAGCACTGGTTTTGTAACGACTTTTATATTGATTCAATCTTTCCTTTTTTCCTCATGTGTCGCAATTGGATGGTTATCGACGACGTTATTCATTAGTCGAACAAAATGCCTGGACAACTGCAGGAAATCAAAGCCAAGCGCGCTACTTTTGGAATGGGCTGCTTCTGGGCAGGTGATTGCCTCTTTGGAGTATTACCAGGTGTCATCAGGACCTGTGTGGGATACGCGGGTGGACAGAAGGAGTCGCCAACATACAGAAATATGTACGTTTCGTTTACATTGCACGCCAAAAGTTTAATTTAAGCTAAAAAAAGTAGCGATTTTTCGCAAAAATCAGTGAATAGGTACTTTTACTAAATTTTTCTATTCGATAACTTATTATCATTCTTATTACAGAGGCGACCATACGGAAGTCGTTGACATCGAGTACAATCCTGATGTGATATCGTACCCGCAGCTACTCGCCCTATTTTGGCAGAATCACGAATACGGCCTTACTACGAAGATCAAGCGACAGGTAAATCGATATATCCCATTGATCCTTTCTCTTATGGGTGTCCAGTAGCTGATGGTGCAACATGGTCATTCTGTACGAGAAACTGAATTGAAAATGTACATCTTCCCGTTCCTAGTAATAATTGTATGAATGTAAAATTTCAGTACATGTCCTTAATTTTGTATCACGATGAAGAACAGAAATTACTGGCTGAGAACACACGCGAACGTCAGCAACGTCGACGTACAGATTTGGTTCTCACCGAGGTTAGAAGATTCGAGAGATTTTACCCAGCCGAAGAGTAAGTATTAGCTACTACCACCGCCTCGCACACTACGTACATCTATATTCCTTATTTAATTATTTATTATTTATTCTTCAGCTATCATCAAAAGTATCGACTCAGAAATCATCCGTGGTTGATCGAGAGTACCGGTCTCACCAGCGACGAAGTCCTTCGGAATTCTCCCTTGGCCGCCAAGTTGAATGGGTACATAGCTGGTGCTGGAACACTCGAACAGTTTGAGAAGGACCTGCCAAGTCTTGGCTTGAGCGAGAAAGCGTCGCAGTATTTGCAAAAATATGTGATCGAAACCCAGGGAAATGGTTTATATTGCTAGCCAATGCTAAACGTACAATATTCGCGAATTATTCACACGAGACCTATATTGAAGCAATTCAATTCTTCGCGAGGAGAAGTTTTAAGGCTTATTTGCGTTGTTCCGATATCCTGTTCGCCTGTCTCTTAGGAAAATGTGTTTGGCCCTTTTGCTACGGCGAAACTGGTCTGCGGTACGCCACCGTTGAGCGGGATTCCAAATCGTGAGCGTACGTTTTTTGTAAGGGCTAGATGTTGACCGTATATAAATATAGTGATCTTATTAATTTAATTTCGAGAAGGCTGTACAGTGATACCCGCTTGGTTGCGAGCCATTAAATGAGGTTTCCTTAGCGGAGAAAATCCCATTTAGAGGCTGTGTATAGTATTAGTGATAAACATAAATGCTTCAACCAAATTTTGCTTGGTTTTAACCAAGTAAAATTCGTTTGGAACGAATTAGTCTGTCACCAGAAGTAAATTAGTTATCCATGTGGTCTGTCTTAAGTGCCTCACCCCATACATGTGCGTACTATATGAAGAGCGTTTATACACTCGTATATCCACTCGTGGTAGTAAAAGAGTTGAAACCATCTATTTAGAATTTAAACAACGCGAATAAGTATTTAGCATGATTTTAGAAAACAATTTACGCGACAGGTATCCTTTGTTAGTATTACATTCTCTCGTTTCATATAACTGTTATCATAGCGCATAAGTCTCATCAACAGGATATTCATTATACGCGAATACATCGCACGATTGTTTGTTTGCACGCTCAATAGTTCATGGGTATCTTATTTCTTAAAAGCTGGTTAAAAAGATGCTTACAGTAAGAATGCTAGATAGGCTGTGAAAAATACGTAATAACTCTTTTTGCAATGATTTCCTTAACTACCGTGTACGTTCTATAAGTATTATAAGTTTAATCACGATACTCTCTACTCGCATAAAATGAATAGACATAGACCATACAATTAGAATAACGCGGATTTTTCTTTTAAACAGTTTAAGTTACCCGTTTACGATAACATAGTATAATTAATATAAATTTATAATTATCCATAAAAATGTTATTATGCAGCATTTGTTGTTAACAATCTCATTGGCCGTGAGTTTTGAACAATGTACATAACTTTCGGACAACGGCGTTATCTCAAACGCACGCGCGTATACACATATACGGCCTCAGACACACGCATATTTAAATGTGCTTATTTCTTTACATGCTTTATGTGTCTTTTATACCTTATTTATGTGTAACTGGTTTGCATTAGGAAAATCAAAATATATGTTATAACTGTCTACAAAATTTACTGAAACATGAAAATAATAACAGTGATTTCCATGTATGTATTTTAAAGTTTTGTTTTCATTTTGTTTCCTTCCAGTTGTTCTAATGCTAAATTTATTCAATACGAAAATGGTAAGTTGACTATATTATACGAAGATCTACTTTCTTTTCATTTCCTGAGTCGGATATATACACCTACACAGTAAGGTGCTCCTTTGTAACAGTAAACAAAAACAAAAGTATAATGACTAAATAGACATACATACAATTTTGGTATATCATTCGAGGTAGCAAGAAGTCGTAAACACGTAATTACATATGTAAAACTTCAAACCTTGTAAAGCACATTGCTTTGTTATTTGATCGCGCTACGATAATAACTACTTATATTCCTTTATGTTTCAAACGCAGTCTATTTAAATCTATCAATGAATTTAAAAAGGCGCTCAAGTAGTGGCGCCTGTGTTTATATGTTTACATATAATATGCGTACGCACAGGCTTCTGTTCATCTTATTTTTTTCGATAGTTGTCTAGTTTCCTTATTTTTCTGTTACACACAATCAAGTGTACGGGCAAACATGTTTTACGAAAGAGTATGCATCGAAAATGGATAATGTCAACAGTCGAAAACCATCAAAGTGATCTTTTCAATATTAAGAAGAAAAAAAAACGTGTAGTCTATTTAACTAATCAGTGTAAAGTTTTGTGGGAAATTTAAATGTTTGAATGTACGTTAACCAGTGGGTGATAATTTGTTGTACAGTTTACGTCGCATGTAGTTTGTTTGAAAGTAAAACGCAATTATGTATAAAGGTTATCTTACTATTGCGTTTCTCCTCGTATGTCACTGTTTATCAATTTCAAATGGGAATGAATGTGATGTAAGTGGGAAATCTTATAGAAATTCAAATTTTTAAATTCAATAGACAATTTTCTTTTTTTTCTGGTATTTCCATAACTTGGAATATAAGAGTTAATTTATTCCATTCTGCGAGAATTTCGCGGAGATTTATTATAATTTGAAGACACTACGTGTTATTTAATTTACAGTTTATTTGTAATATTGATGGATGTAAAACACCAGAATACTATACAAGCAATAGCATTTCATCCATTGAATTTTGTACAAGGGAAGATATGCCAAGAAATGTGAATTTTACATTACCAGAAAATAAAAATGAAATTTCTGAGTTGCCTGGTAAATAGGAATTAAACTCATAGTTATGTTTAAAATCATAAAATAGTAAATATGTTAAATAATCTTTTATAGTTGGCTTGGAGATTAATTTTATACCACCAAAAAGAGAATGCAAATACGAAATTGATTTATTAGCAAATGAATTAGTTAGTGAGACAAAATGTATGAGTTATGATTTTTTTGATGCTAAAATACATACAACTAAGTGTGCCATTTGTTTCATTTCAAATGACAATCAGTATCTGGTAAATATATTCATTTGTAAATGTGTGCAATTTTCATAAATAACATATTACATATTCTGCTTTGTCACAGGACATTGTTGGCATGATCTTTTCATATATATTTACAGCATGCTATGCTGTTCGGTTTCATTTTAATGAACATGAATATGTTGAGTCTAAGAAATTTCTAAAAACAGATTATGAACGTACAGAAGTCACATTACCAGAGTTGAGATGTTCTTATAATGTTGTACATAATGCTACTAAGAAGTAAGTTTATTGACATATGCTTCACAATATAATATAAAATTTATTATTATGAATAACTAGTTTTACATTATATATTATAAAGCAATTTCAAGTATTTAAAATTACTCACAGTGATTAATTTAAAAAATAAAAGAATAATTGTATTTAAATCCTACAGTAAAAAGCTCCACTTTGAAATGAACTTTTCAACATCAATAGTTTCAAAAGTGTTGTTACAGTTTGGATTGTTTTATATTGTGAATGGAGAAGAAGTCTGTGATAATATCATTCATGAATGGGACTTTGATGTTTTGGTAATATTTTAAAGCTACAAAATTTATCATTTATGTTTTACATCATTGTAAAGCACAATGAAACCTTCATTCTAAATATTACATGCAATTTTTACATATGCATGATATTAATTATATTTTGATAAACTTGATAATATGAATATTTACTTCTTGATATTATTTTCAGAAGGAGTATGCTGAGAACAAATATTATAATTCTAATACAAGTTTGGTGAGTGTAATATACTTATTATTTTTCAGTTACATTACAGCAAATGATTAATACTCCAATAATTTGTGTTTCTGTATTAGTTGAGAAGTAGGAACTATGAAAAAAATATAAACTTCAGTATTGAAGTTTCAAAATCTTCAAATTATTGTTTTCTAATAGCTTTAATTGATGAAAGATGTACAAATAATACTCTGTGGAATCCACCTATGGGCAAGTCCAAACCATGTCAGTGGATAAAAGGTAAATGTACAGCCTATGATCAATATATTAAGATAAGTTGCAAGTAACAACTAAAAGCTTATTTTCAGAGTGTTACTATACTCCTAAGTATGATATTGGTCCAACTGAAATTGGTGCTGACTCCTACTTGTACTGGCCAATTGGTATTATCACATTAATTATGTTTGGAATACTTGGAATTGTGTACCTCATGTATACCATACACATTCATTGTATACAGGGAAAGAGGTTCTATATAAATTGTGGCAAAAGTAATGTCACAAAGATGGAATGTAATCAATTGAACATATGTACCTCGAAAGATAAGGGGAAGACATGTGAAAGCATTAGTACTATGAATAGAGATATTGTATTGTTATATCCTAAAAGTTCTGAATCATTTATGGCATTAATGGGAGATTTTCGTGAAATGCTTTCTAGAGTCTGCCAGTGTCCAGTAAGTTGCTAATGTAAATGCTATATACTTTACAAGTACAATACAATGTAAATGCTCTATATTTTACAGGTACATGATTGGCACAATGGAACAGAATGGAATTATGTGGCTGAGATAGGTGCATCCGATTGGTTTGCTGAAATGCTCAATAAGGGATACCGTGTTATTTGGATAGATACACCAATGACGCGATCATTAATTTCACGAAGATTCAAATGCAATTCATATACTAAGAATTCTGAGCAATTTAACTTTACAGAAGTTGGTGACTTTCGTGACATGGTATTCCCTACAATATTTAACATAGCAAAACGTAACATTGAAAATTCGATATTGGAGCAGCACAAACATTTTATTGTAAGGTCAGTATCCATCAGATTTTTGATAGATTATTGACATTGTAGTCTTAGAATGAAGTACATACATTAATGGTGTTTTGGCTTTTCAGATTAAAAGGATTTGAAAATTTTGAAAATGAAAACGATCCATTTATCGATTTATCTGTACATATACGATACCTCATACCTCAAGATTTAAATACATTGTGTTCAGATTTGTAAGTTTTCATTGTTACTAAAAAATGTCTTTTATGTATAATGTGTTCATTTTAAATTAATCTTATAATACATGTGTATTTATATATATATATTTTATTATACCTGTAATGTTATAAGGTAAACTGTACTTAAAATGTACTTAAGGTATTTTGCATGTATGTTTTAGGATAATGTCAGATTCAAATTTAATTGTACCACTTATAAGTCAAGAAGAGAATCTTATAAAACAACACTTGTATGATATAGAATTTGATTTTTATAAATAAATATTTAAACTTAGTAGCATTCTATTTATTATATTCATACTTTAATCTTAGAAGTATTGGTTTTTTAATCTCAGATAAATTATTGCGAGAGCACGTTCACGACATCGTAAACACTTGAGTAATTCGATTGTTTTTAAACTATGTGAAAACAATTTATATACTTTAACACACCAAGAACAAAGTCTAGATCATCACAATAGATAGCAACATTCACGGATTTTGTTACGATTTTGATTGAAATTAAATCATTATAAACATATTTTGAAAGCGTTGCGTTTTTAAAAATCACGAAAACGGTAATACCGGCATCAGTGTGGTGTGTACCCGGAGCTCAATCGGTTACTACGATACTACGCGCGTTAATTTGAATATGAATTTAGTTACATCGCCAATAAGAATATAAAACATATTAAAAGATTATTTTTAAGTATTATTACTTTAATTTGACAGAAAGCATTTAGTGATGAAAATACATGGAATTCAAAAACGTTCGAAGTATTACAATAAATAAAACATGCACGATGAATGTTTACGAAATATTCGGCATGTTTACGTAAATATAAAGTATACGTAGAGCATTTTCAGGACTATTTATAATTCTTTTATATGAATTTAAAGTGTCTTTAGCACCACCATCAAATAATTCACTTTTCTGCGATGGTTATCAATGATCATTTTGTTATCACGTTAAATTGACCCTGAATATGTGTATGTAGCAACTCAAGGATAACAATTACGTTTCTGCGAGAATGATGGGAGAAGGAATATACTCTTGTCCTCAGATTTTCAGAATGATTAATAAGCAGCTGCTATTTAATTATAGATTCATCAATTTTAAGTATAATTGTATAAAATGTAAATGCTTGAAAAAAGTAGTAGTGGAAATAGTATGCTGTGTAGTAGTATACCGGTTGGAGTTTCATTCACTTTCTACTTCATTGATGAAAATATATATCATACAGGCGGACATTCAAACTCATTGTTCTTCAGACTAATTTTTGATGAAGTATCGATAATGTTTACATTTTATTCACTCTTTAAATAGTCGTGAGAACATTTTAATTTTAACGACTTTCGTTACTCGACACCTTTCATATGGTTGAGTCTGTCAAAACTTTTGAATGTAACCAACGTGTAATTCCAAAAAGATGAAACGATTAAAGAGTGAATTAATTAATGCCACAATTGAGTCATATTTGAAACGACGTCATTACCAGGCACGTTACTTTCTCACTTTTATCTCACAAAATTTATGTAAAATTGAAAAATAGGTGGTAAACGTAACATAACCTCTTGTCACTTTTTAACATTGATTATAGACCAGCGAGGTTTTCTGCAAAAGCAATCAAGTATACTGTCGAACCAGCGATGAAATGACTTTAAATGCAACTGCTGCCTCTGCTACATCTCAAGATAATTCCATCATTTTCAGTGCTATTAGCATCGATGTTGCTGCTGCAGATCAAGCATATCAACGGTATATCCTCTGTCCTATTTAAACTTCATCAATGTTATTTTAATGTGACAAACTCTATATAATCAGACTTTTATATATCTTTCTTTTTAATGCTGTGTATATATTATTTCTATTAGATTAAAGATGTGGGTAAATATTGCAATCGATGATAAGTTGAAAATGGAATTAAAAGGGCTTTTATACCCTGTATTTTGTCACTTATATTTAGAGATGCTACACGCTGGTAACAGGCAAGCGGCGATTCAGTTTCTAAAATCGCATCAAAATGAATTTAATAGCGAAACAGAAAAAGACTTTTTAGAAGAGCTATCCAGTGTATTTTCAGTACAAGACATTGAGTTGAGACCTTTGGTTAATTCATTTAGAACTAGAAAATACAAAGTGGATATGTCTGATATTGCTCATTTATGTCTTCAACAGTTTCTTGCAAAACATGGACATATTATATTAATGCAGGTAATTAAGGAATATCGGATTAAATGTAAAAATTGTTAGTTAATATTAATATGTAACTTTTTCTTTTGGATATCAGATAATAAATACACATGTGACAATAATTAAAAAAATGGATGTGCCTGAAACACATGCAGAAGGATGCGAAGAAACAGGTACACGATGCGAAGTAGGAATTAATGGATATGTAGAGCAGCCATCTGGAACTGGAGCTGATCGTGAAATGCGAGAATTGCAAGAAGCTATAAGATTAATTCGTAATAATGTGCATCAACCTCTACGAATATTCACAGTGAATAATGCAATTGAAAAGTAATAATATATAAATATAATTTTAGATTTTAGTTGTAGGAAAAGATTTATTCAATAGCTTATTTCAGTGCGAGTAGTGGCGTAATTCCGCCAAATATGGACAAATTAGCAGTAGGATTTAGTACTACAGAAATTAGGCTGTGGGGTATAAATGAAACAGTATTAATCAAGCCAAAGTATGAAGAACCTTCCTTCTCGTTTGCCTCCGACACTCCGTTTTTACACAAGTTTTATGAAACTGGAGACAGAACGTAAGTCTTTATAATTATTTGCTCAAGTAAATTATAATATATTATTTAAGTAAACTAATTTAAAACTGTAAGTTTGCATAATTCATTTGAAGGACTGAAGGAGGGGCAGTGATACTTAGAGGACACACGGATATTGTACATGATTTAAGGTTTATTCCAGAATCAGAAATTTTACTTTCTGTATCTAGTGATAAAGACATGAGGGCGTGGAGACTTAACGATTACTCATGTGCCGCGATTTATAGGTATATCCATATATTCATTTACATCATAAAAAAATAGTAATACACTTAACGACGCTTTTAGAGATATACAGTTGTCATGATATTTAAAAATAATTTGTTACAGCGGTCACAGTTATCCTGTATGGTGTATGGATCTTAGTGTGTTCAATTTGTATGTGGCAACTGGTTCTCATGATAGAACCGCCAAATTATGGTCGTTAGATAGAATATTTCCATTGCGCATATTTGCTGGTCATTTTTTAGATATAAATGTAAGTATTCTATCCAAAAAATTAATCCGTATTTTGATTCAGATCTTGTTTCTTGTAAACGAGATATTGTGTTTTTTTTTTCAGTGCGTAAAGTTTCATCCAAATGCTCGATATTTAGCGACTGGGTCCGCTGATAAGACTGTTAGATTGTGGGATAAAGACGACGGAAATTTATTAAGGGTATATATCGGAGCACAGTCAACAATTTATAGTTTAGCCTTTAGTCCAGACGGAAAGTATTTGGCAGCTGCTGGTAACACATCTTATCTTAATCTTTCGTTAAATAATAAATAATGCCTGTAATTTTACAGCATCTTAATTAATACTTTATTCCCCTAGGCGATGACAAATCTATCTTTGTTTGGGATTTAGCAACTAATGGATTGTTAACCGAACTTAAAGGACACGAAGACACGATTATGAATTTAGACTGGAGTTTTGATGGTCAGTACATAGCTAGCGGAAGTTTAGACGGCACGATTCGTTTATGGCCTACCCATGACCATATAAAAACTGTTAATAGGTAATTTGTAGTTTAATCAATTAAATGACATTTATTTTTTATATTGCAACGCTATATTTCAACTGTACTATTTTTTTCAGCAATTCGTCAAACGTAGTACCTGAATCGGAATCACCACAAATATACTCAACTTATTGCTCGAGTATTCTTTCCTTACGATATTACAATAAAAATAATTCACTCGTGTGTATCGGAACGGTGGACAATTTGTAATATATTAAATTAAAAAATAATTAAATCCAATATATTTGTAATCCTGGTCTTTTATTATTTTACCTTATAAATATTTTTACACTCTGAATAAATTTTTAATACTGTAATACCCTAGTAGACAAGATTAACCTTTAGATCATACAATTGAAATCGATCATTTTGTTAGGGTAGTCATGTGTTCGCACGTATTCACCGATGAAGTAATGTAATTTGCATAAAATCCAAGGAAGAAGATCAATGCGCACCATAGTATCGGCCGCCATGTTTGGAAGTTTCTAGTTATTCGTAAGGGTTCGGCCTTTCTTATACTGAAACAAAAAATTCAGCGAGTTGTGTTAAATACTTTTACACAAAACATTTCAGTTCTTTTTTATCTCCACTACAATTTGATCGAGAAATTACCACGATATTAATTGTTTTTCAACGTGTTTGGTCATGCTGGATTCTAAGAAAGACGATGACGACAATGATCGATCTTCGTTTTCCGCGTTATTGCTAACGTCACAATTCACAGACTCAATATTATTCGCTTGATCGTGTCTTAGAAGATTATTATTCTCTTCCAAAGAGTTCCTCCTCGACTCGATCTGTTCAGAAATGTCGCGTAACTCGGTGACGCTACTGGAGCTGCTAAATTGTACAAAAGTCCATTTGTAATACCAAATATTCCTCCCAAATAATGCTTGGAAAAAGTAATACAAACTCTGTTCGATTTAGTTTCTCATTTTCCCATCGTTGCATATCGGAGCACAACGATGGCCTCCTTTGTGTTATTAGGGTAACTCTACCGGAAACGGAATTACGTTGTCTAGGACCTTCCTGAATACAGAAATAAGTAGATAACAGATCTATTATCTTGTTATATAAAATGATACCTAGTCGATAGGAGATATTACCTTTATCACATCTTGCGTAAATATAGGCCCTGAAAATGTTGCAATGCTCGCTCTCCTTCTAGACACCTGCACAGGAAATTCATTAAGAAACGAAGTAACGAACGCCAAATGGATTTGCAAGTTGCAAGATTATTAGAAGTTGCTATCTACTTGTGTACGTAATGAGGCAGAATGTATATTTGAATATCTCGCTAATGTTTGACCTTATGATAGTCACAACCAAGGATGGCGCATTCAAATGATTTTTGAATTGATATTCGTCTAAACTACTGAATATATTTGTTCAGTTCTAAGAGCAAGTGGCGAACGACCTGATATTCAATTATTCACTCGAACTGTGTATTCATTTTGTTGTACTAAGCGAATTAAATCGAAGCTTATACTTTCAAGTGACCCCTCTACCTAAAACCGTTTCTCTTCGTTCTCTTACCATAGCTCGATTATTGGAGTAACGTAATTTAGACGCATCGTCGCCCATCTCTCCTGTGCCCTCCTCGATCACGATGTTGTGCATCAACAAGATTCGTCTGAAATCCAACAAATCCTACATTTCGCAGTTTTTATTAAATCAAATAAAAATAATCCTGATTCTTTCGATCGTCGTTAATTTATTAATTCGCGGCATTTACGTTAATCTATCCTTACTTGATCTCAGCGATTTCCGTGGCCAGATTCTCACACCTCGAACGCAGCGTTCGAAGATACTTGTCCGCTATGAAAACTCCTCCACAGACCCTTTGCTCTTGTTGCACTGCTCCGAGAGTTTCAGCAGCGTAACAGGTCCTACGAACGCATTTCTTTATAGTCTCTAGCCTGCAACGGACCTTTTCCACTTTCTCCATCGATTCCCTGTCTGTGCACAGCGGCGATAACTCCTGGATCATTGAACAAATTAATAATTAATAGGGTTTGAGTCTTCAGGGAAGGACTCCTGCTTTTTTGGAGATAAAGGTCGATTCTTCTACAGCATCAAGGGCCTCAAGATGATTAATGGATCTAACAGCAGCTTGTATCGTTTCTTAATGATTGTGATCAATATTATCTTTTCATCAACGTTATTTTGCTCACATGAGAATTTTTGGTAAGGATTTTTGTTAAGGTTTATATTTTTCATGGAGATCCAAAACCATCAAGATGACGACTTAAACCTCTTCTAATTTAATGTGTACTACGTTATATTTTTCAAGGAATTTCAGAAGCATCCAAATGACGACTTAAACATCTCGTAATTTTATATGGACCACATCATACTTTAATTTCAACGATATCGCTAACATCGCTTCCGAAGAATGATTGGTAATAAACGTAACGAAATTGTAATTAACGTAATCAAACATTTATTATGCTATTTATTTTTGTAACTCCATCGTAGTTCAAGTATTTCGTTCAAATTCATGTTCATTGACAGTTAACTTTCAGAATTAATTGTTTTAATTCTTCGGTGAAAAGCACTGTCGCCCATATATGGGCGACGTGGCGATGAACGTGTTAAACGTGCCGTGCGCTTACCTGTATGTCTTCCTGCATTTTCTGAATTTCACCGGTGAAGTTACGTTCTGATAGATCTCGTTGTCGCCGAGATAATATTAATCTCCGATGCAAGGTGATCCTGTCTGTACTGAGCCCTATCGAGAACGCGATGTATCTGCGCTGCAATTAAAAACCGTCACCGTTTTCGAACAATAAATTTCAATTTGAACGCAGCGTTGTACAGGATGGTTCATGGAAATTATCGTAAGCTATTGTCTCAAGATCTTTTGAAAATAGTGGCAGAATTCATGTTTGATCATTTTTAGCACACTGAGACCTTTTGATCTATGCCTGTGTTTCTCAACTTTTTTTTTGGCTCGTGGCTTCTAACGAGTTTTAATTATAGCCCCCACTTCTCGTGATTCCTATTCGTTTGTATCTATTGGTATGATATTTAATATTATTTAAGAAAGTATATCAATGATAATCGTAAATATATTTGTAGCACTATATTTTTATTAGTTACTTCAATTTCAGTATTTGTGTTACTAGAGTTTTTTTAGAGTAACAATTAAATCAATGTTAACTTCGATATTATTAATTAAGGCTCAGGTGAAATACGTTTACATTAAAGTATCCCGAGAAAATAGCCTAGAGAGGAAATAGTAATTTGTATACCTCGAGCTCGTTTTCTGATATCGCAAAGTTCTCTCTGAAACAAACAAACACAAATATATATATACGTATATTCGTCACGTGGATGCCATAAGCATTCTAAAAATACCTACGTGACTTATAAAAATGCAACAATGTCGTTCCAATCTACATGTTTATGTTTCTCTAAAAATAGATCCCTCATAGAATATTTCACATTTATTTTACATATTACAACTCTTATTTTGGATCGATACTTTTTTTTAGATATGATCACGATTCCCAAATCGTGCCACCATAAAGTTTCTCGAATGGTCCCGGTACGATTTATGCTTGACATGTAAATAAAGAAGACTGATTTCACTTCCGCCGCGATGAAGCACGTATGCCAAACACGATCAGTGCATAAAATGTGCATTATGGGTTATGGATGTATTAAAGTTGTGGAAGATTACGAAAAAAAAAAAAAAAAATGGAATCATTCATGGAATACTAATTTCCTCGCGTTTTAAATCTGGAGCGATTAATCTTTGACGCGGTCGTTCATGTACCACAGAAGGAGATGAAGATTACTCGATCGTTTACCTGTACAAAGTGTTTGTTTCTTCGAAGTTCGATAATCTCATTCTCTGCAGCCGAGCATCAGTGAAGCTAGGAAAAGCCCGAATCTGCTCTCTGTCCTCGGATGATTCCAGTCTGCTGCATCTGCAGCCTTTTGCATTTTGGTATTGTTCGCCGTCGCCCTCTGACAAGGACCTCCTCCCGTCAGAAAATTTCTGCATCCAACAATATCGTCCTTACTTCAAACTGCAATGGTGTATCAACTAACGTTGTTTTATTCTTTCAGAAAATACCCAAGAATAAATGTCCTCGCAAGGAAACAAAAACTAAATGGAGCTTCTGGTAGTTTGCTTTAACGAAATTCAAGGAATGGGAATTTGAGATAGTCGATCCTTTGCGATATTACATCGTGTGGGACTCTAAAGAAAATGTATTCAAATTGGATAATTTAGAAGCCACCGTATAAAATTGATAATATAATTAAATATCCAATATGTATTAGATTAAAAGTCTGTGATGTTAAAAATATATTAAATTGAAAAATTTGGTAGTCAGGATATAAAATGCATAGTACGATTAAAAATCTAGAATATATCAGATTAAAAATCTGTGACATTAAAAATATATTAACTTGGAAAATTTGGTAGTCACCATATAAAATGTACAATACAATTAAAGATCTATAATATTAGATAAGATAAAATCCTATATAACGAATAATAAAGGCAGACACAGTTGTTAGTATAATCTCTCCGGTTTGGCCAGCAGAGGAAGAACACAGTGGCTCCAAGGACCCCTGGCGTAACAAGCACTCACTTGCTCCTCTCTCTACGTGGAACTACATTCATTATTTCGAAATGACCTGGACGCAATTTCAAAGAATATCCTCTATTCGCTAAATACACTGCTTTTCAGTCTGTCGGCCTATAAATATCTCATTACGCGATTCGAAACTGAAAGAGAGTTTCGGACGGATGCGGCTCGATTTCAAATTTCTCGGTAATATATCCCGCGCGGTTCGTCCAGAGCAAATATTATTTTTCCTATCGAACGGAATAGATCGCCAGATGCAGTGCTACCATGTGGTACATCAACGATTCAAGGTACATCAAATATTTAGGATGTCTGGCGGTGTCGAAGATCTGCGTCGCGAACACGATGGCGCTTTCTTTCTTATTTTTTGTTTTTATTATTATTGATTTGATCAGGACAATGTTTTCCTGATAGGAATCGAACGAGGAAAATGTTGAGCTTTCAGGTGATAGAGAGTTAATCTCAGGGTACTTGACAATCAGGGATCAACTGTCATGTGATAGAATGTAGCGCAAGAAGTTAAGAAATAATGTAAAGCATTGTAATATGTGAAGTCAAGGATTGATGTAAGCCAATGTGAAAGGACATACGTGCAATGTAAGGATTATGTGCCCAGGAAATTATTTATATTATATATAAAGCTTACAAGAAAAGCCTACTTGATAATAAGGGTCGGAAACTTTAAGGGTGGTTTTATATGGCAAGATTAAATAGGAATCGAGTTTGCAGTTTCATCGTTGAAGATAGGTGTAAAAGCCCTCAGAAGCCAGGGATTGCGATCGCCATGCAATAATCAGCTGATTGATGGCTAAGGTAGTGGGTCTGAATTAGGTCTGAGTCAGGTATGGTTCAGGTCTGGGTTCTCTAATAGTGACCTGTCCGAGACTATTAATGAGCTTGCCTATATTAGCATGCCTCTATATTTAAATAAATGTACAGTTCCGAAAGACACGAATCCATAAATACAATTGTGTTTTCATAGAAGCAAACGAGCATTCGAATCGAATCACTTTTCCATAGAACGTTCGATTCCTGGATTCCATAAAACTCAGAGAACGTGTTACCTTAAACGCGAACGAGATTTTCCCAGAACTACGTTTTCAGAAATGGTAAACGTAAATCATCGAAGACTGTTACAAAGGCTTGCTTTAAATTGCACGTTACTAGCAAATATAATCCGAGGTCGAAAGCAGAATTTAAATAAAATATGAAAAGAAAAAATATATTATCGGAATTGTCCTCCAAATTTTACTCGAGAGTATGCATCCTACGTGTCTTTCTTAAAAAAGAATTATGTCCACTTTACCCCAACAATAAGAATATTCCTAGAATATTTCCACTTCCCTCCGAACACCCTCAAAATCGTCACAATTTCCCCGAAAATTGTCTTTCGTCCACCTAATATAAACTCGAGTGTTACGAGCCACGGAAATATTGCATTTTTTATGCGGACATCCTATTGTACATCGATCGAAAGTTAACGGATAAACAATAACGCAGGGATTACCAACTTGTCGCTTCTCTGGTGTCGATCGAGATTCCTCGAGGTCTTCCGTTCTCTTTTCGTCGAGCGGCTCACCCGAATCCGGTTTCCCTGGGGCATCACCGATGGAAAAAGACGACGAGGGTTGCGGGGGAATTCTACCACTCCTTGGCACCGCGTTCCACGAGGTCTCGTCTGGCGGACGGCTCGCGTTCAGGATTCCCCCGATCGGCTCGTCCTCGTTATCCGAACCGATCGAGCTATCCTCGTGACTCGACATTTCTGGATCGACTGGTGTGTATTTGCCGCGACGACCAGCACTCGACGCGCTCGGAAACGCGCGGGGCGACGCCGAATCCCTGATCTTAGCCAGATCTGCGAACCAGGGGATTGGGACTTGAACAATATACATTTATTATATTTTTAGTTTTTCGTGCTCCACTGCGAATCGAAGAGCTTGTTACCGCCATAAAACCATATTTAACGCGCTACGAACCGATCGGGGAACCACCGTGCACTTTAGAGTGCCCGTGGCGGCTGTAGGGTGATCTACAGTGGGAGGTTATAGAGAAAAGGTGCTTCGAGGGAGAGTAGTCGATCTTCAGGTGGGCCATATTTTTGGAGTTGACAGGGTTAGATATTGCCTTATTTTTTGTTTTGATTTTTATGGATGTAGGGATATTTTTTAATTTACTTCGAAAGGTTGAAATTATTCGTAGTTGTGAATTTTAATATTTTGTTCGATATTCTATTTAATATTCTGTTTTTCATTCAGTCGGCTATGATTTAACGCTAAAGGGTTAGAGAAGCGAAAACAGAAATTTATACAAGACCGAGACTCGTTAGTGAACTATTGACGCAATTGTACAGTGGAATGAATTTTTATCTTTTATAACAAGTAAACGATTTTTTTCTGTTTTCTTCCAAATGATTCCACAATAAAAAAAACGTGTTACTTCATGTTTCGCACTAATTTTGATACCGAATATGGTATTGTATATTGCACAGCTTCAGTTTTATTTTTATTTTTAATCACGTGCCTCAAGGAACCTCCTCAAATCTCCATTAAGTTACAGTATAGGCAGATATGTTACTATTAACAACTTTTGTTTCATAATGAAGTTAGGTTTATGATGCAAACGTTTTGGAAACAAGCTAGTTTATTTACCGTTGCTCTGGATCGAAGTTGCTGATCGCGGAGCGCATTTAGGCGCGAAATTGCTCGACGAACCAATGGAGGAATATCTCCCACCATTTTCTAATTTTTCATTGATAGGTAAGGCGGAATCGTCAGATCCTGGAGACGAGGTCCTGTGCGAATCGGTAGCGACACTTTCGTCGGCATCCTGATCGAAAATAAGCATAATTACGGCCGTGAAAATTGTTTTTAACTCTTAACGGTCTTGTGTCAGACTTTCCGTTTTAAAGAATTATTGAATGCCCAGATTTGGTCAATTCTAGAGACTCTTGTGCCAATAACCGTATTGTTTATAATTTTTCTTTAATCGAGAGTCTTGGGTACCCTAAGCGTTCTGTTGGATGAGTGAGACACATAAAAAGAAAAGAAATAGAAAAGTTAGTATGTCTTCCTATGTATCAAAAAACATGAAGAAATTGTTCATCAAAACATAAACCGCAAAGACGAAGAAAAAGGAATCGCTATAAAATAATTTTAATACATAGAAAATGTACCCTACAAGTGTTCACAGAAGGAATATAATTATTTTTGATTTTCGTTCAACAATTCTCAAATAAACGAGACCTTTTGTTTACAAAGATCAGTAAACTGACATCAAAGAGGCCCCGAACAATGGATCGAGCAATTCTATCGATAAAGAAATAAAACCATGCTTGATCCGTCAGCGGCAATTCATTCATTCCTCTAAAAACAAACGAACCTCGTTTTAATTCGCAATATTTCGACCGAAACACCAGAAATTTTCAACCGAAATATGGTAAGGGTTATTGACACAAAGGTTAATAAACAGTCTGTCCCCCCCCTCGCCGCCCCTCGCGTAGGAATTTTCTAAAGTCTGCAACGAAACGTCCGAAAGCGTTTTCCAGCGAAAATATTTTCGTAGCGATTGGCAGCGACGTTTCAAGGAGAATAATTTCATTTACCGTCGCCGTCAAAGATTCGGTTTACTGTAAAAATAAAGCTCGGACCTAAATACTCTTCCGAGAGAACAGCATCGGTGGCCGTTAAGAGTTAATTCTCGCAGTTCCGACGGTCAAAGTTTCTGGCATAGATGGGCAAAATTCTTATCTAGGTAAACGTGCCGAGTAATGAATCAAAGATACGTGCTTGGTATTTCAATTGTACAGAAAAATATTTCACAGTGGTCAAATATAAATTTAGCGATAGAATAGAATGTGTACCGTGAGTAAATAGCTAGGTGTTGGTTTATTCAACACCTATCGCAGTGTTTCTCAAGTAAGAGGCTCCTAAATGTATTAGTAAACGTCGTAAGCTCTTGGGAGAAAGAAAAGGCTTAGTAGAATTGAAACAAAATAGTACTTCCTGTACTATCATATTATGATTAAGAACATTTCATAAAAGAAAAACGTGCTCCACTTAATTTTTGTGATAAATAGCAATGTCCCTGAAGTTTCATCAAGACAGTTTTATACCTGTGATATATTTACCACTCTTTATTTCGTTTGTAAGATAATTTCACCGTAAACCTCCTTAATAATTTAACCCTTTGCATTCGAGGCCTTTTTTTTGTGGTATCTACCAGCAACTCGAGATGTTTCTTTGCATTCTATCTGCCATAAATTCGAAGCTATTTAGATTTGAGAATAAGGTCACCTTTACCTCACCGACAATCATTTCATCGACACTTGTGGCTCCAAAGAAATGAAACCTAAAGAAACGTTAGGTATTGTAGATTTTCTGCATGAAACCTAATGGCGACTGACAAGGGAACGTATCCAACTGTCCGTCTCCGATTTTGATGAAACTTGATGGGTACGTTAAGCAGGTGAAAATAAGGGAGACGTATTTTTTTATAGCTGCCCAATCGTAAGTTTAGGGGTTGAAAAAATAGGAGGAAAATGTATCGTATTATACATCAATGGATTCGGAAAGCAATTTCCGTTCATTTTTGTCGTTATATACATTTCTCTATCTCTCAAAATAACGTAACAAAAAATACTTTTGTTATAAACAAATTACATTTTACAAAATCTGTGACCACTTTGTGTTTTACTTCATGAAACCATGAAACTTTTCTCTAAGAAGATTTCTTATATCTATTGTAGTTTTCGAGATGGCATTTTTCTGCTGAAACCACAAGGGGCGATTTCAACTCCTAAACTTGCGATTGGGCAGCTATAAAAAAATACGTATCCCTTATTTTCACCTAAACAGGTGAATATTAAACAGTGTACCCACCAAGTTTCATCAAAATCGGAGACGGACAGTTGGATATGTTCCCTTGTGAGAATCACCTCTCGAGTGCAAAGGGTTAATTCCACTCGGGGGGAACTTCACGAAGAAGTAAAGTCCGAGAAACACTGGTCAGTTATCCAAATAAAATTTTTGCCCAACTCTGGCAACTTCCAAAGCTTACTTTGCCCTCGTGATTACTGTTCAATTTGAAATGCTTCGCTTCGTGCTTTCTCGCAGCTTTATCGACAGCGTCCTCCCTAACTCTCGGCAGCTTGAACGCTGATAGAGGCACGGTTTTCGACTTGGAAAATTGAACGTTGCTGTACGTCCTTTCGCTGAGACGATCAGGTGAGGACCCACTGAGGAACTTGCCGCTCTCTATCAACGAACGACAATTGTTGACGAAACCTTTCTTGCACGGGCTCGTTTCCTCGTTGCTCCTCGGCTCTCCATCTTGAGCTTTTTCCAGATGAACGGAAGGGCTGCTGGAGGTACGTCGGAACTCGTACGCCTCGCCCTGATTTTTTGAAGCGATCACGTCGAACGATCGACAAAACACCGACAACTTTCGTTGGGGAACTTTTAGATTATTCTCGTTGTCAGTCTCCGAGCAGGCAGCTTTCAGACGAGCGATCCGTTGCTCTTCGGTATCTGGCTTCGATGATCGACGGTCTGCTTTTTGGGACGCTTTCGTAGACTCGTCCATTTGATGATTCGTGATAATTAGCGAGGACACTTCGTCAACTGTTCAACCTAGTCAAATTCGGCTAATGGTAATATTCGTTATGTAAGGTGACTAGGGTTACGTGGACTTTTTAGTTTTTGGAGTTGGCAGGGTTAGATATTGCCTTATTTTTTGTTTTGATTTTTATGGACGAAGGGATATTTTTTAATTTACCTCAAAAGGTTGAAATTATTCGTAGTTGTGAATTTTAATATTTTGTTCGATACTCTATTTAATATTCTGTTTTTCATTCAGTCGGCTATGATTTACGCTGATTAACGCTGATGGAATAAGAGTGGGAGTTAAGGGGAGAGTCTGGTCCAGCTAATGTATTTTTCTAATGCGTATCGTTTCCAGATATAATTAATTTTTGTTATTGAAACTTGGTTTACATATAAAGGGACGTTCAAAGAAGAAAATTTGACAGTGTAGATTTCATTTGAATGTATACATGTATACATAGATATAGCAGTCACAAGGAAAGGATTCTGTCAAAACGATGGGACGCATAGCTCATTGAATTTTTGTCCGATTCACTTGATTCAACGCTTAACACGTTGGCTGCTAAGCTAAATCTCGTAAAAATTTCAATAAAGTTAAAATTTTGTCTAGAAACTATTAAAAATTGGATAGCTTAACATCTCTCATAGTATTTAATTTTTTAACGTCGTCAAATTTACGAATCTTGTACAGATTTATTTTCATTATTGTCTCATCTATGAAATTAATTTTATTAGTTCTTTAATGACAAGGCCTGTCACCCATATCTGGGTGACGTAGCGACCAACGTGTTAAATTAAAGGTAATTAACTTTATACGCTCATGAACCTCGACTCTTAATGAATTATTATTATAGCATAAAATTATTGCAAAATAACCGCCGACATGTATCGCTTATTTTCATGTTTTTTGCCGCCATTTTTGCAATTAACAATGTTTTTTCTGCAAATTGAGATGCATACGTATTTTACGTACCTACTAAAGAAAAAATTTTCTGATTTTACCTATCAGATGTTTTCACAGGTCTCCACGTATCCCACCGTTTTCACCGAATCCTTTCCTTGCGACTACTACATATATCTATATATGTATACATTCAAATGAAATCTACACTGTCAAATTTTCTTCTTTGAACGTCCCTTTATATGTAAAAAAAAGTTTCAATAACAAAAATTAATCATATCTGGGAATTATATGCATTAGAAAAATACATTAGCTGGACCAGACTCGCCCCTAAAGGGGCAGCTCCAAAAGCAGGTCATTTTTGGAAATTTTTAATGTGAAACGTATGAAACGTGGAAGGATCAAATTTGAATACATGAATGTGTATAGTTTGAAGTATATCTTGGTAAATTTGCATTGGAAAATGTTAAGAAAACGGCGGCGTGCCATAAGTTTCCATTTCGAGAAGATATTGGATAGATCTCCTGCTACATTTGTGGATAATATGTGCGAAAGTACTCGGTGGAAATTTGAAGTCTGTCTACCGACAGTTTCTGAGATTTTACAGGGATTTTTCATCGATATTAATTCTTCTTTCATTTAATGCCTGGAAGAACGAAACATCCTAATTGCGCGAGAACAGACAAGACCGTCTTTGATATCGCTGAACAATCTTTACTAATAGAAGCCCAGGATGTTTACACGGACAACTCCGCGTGTTTGAATTTAATACCGCAATCACTTGAAATACCAGTTGAACCCTTTCATAGCAATTGCTTCTAATATCGATTTAAAATTAGCCGTAGAAGAAGAACTGGTTTCTATTTCGAGTGACGACGGTCTTGAAACCGTAAAAATAGATACTGTTTTTCCTTGCTATAGCAGGATACTCCACCCCAATAAAAATTCAGAACGTTTATATGGGCACCTCTGAACGTTTGAAATAATTTTCTATTTCGCCACGATAACGCGCAATGATTCGTTTGAATAATCGCTCGACCGTTATCTAGGCAAATTCATAATTTACTTGCTAAACATTAATTTAACTTTACAATTTACCAGGAGCACAGACATTCCCATTATATGTATATCAAACGAACAACCTTAAAGCTTGAATTCCATTAAAAATGTTTAATGTTGTTAAACAAACTCTTATATCTGAACATTGAAATTCTTGTAATTTAAAATAAATTCAAAATAAATTCAAAGTAAATTCAAATTAATTTTAATGCAATACAAGTTAATGCACGACATTTCTTTATATTATTAACGTCTCATTTTTGTCGTTTGTTTCTCTTTTATGTTTCTCAGCTTTTTTTATTGATTGTAGTTGTTTTCATCGTAGTTCGTTAATGTGACGTGATTTCTTCTTGTACTATTAAGAATATTCCCCTACACCAATGAATAAAATAACCAATCCTCGCGGTTTGAAAAAGTGTGCTAAAAACATTATTAGGCTCTGAATGTGCCGCGATGTAAAAAAACAGCTTAGGAAGCACTGCGTTAAGCTGTCTCTAGGCCTTTGCAGCGCGATCGTTAGCTCGTATGATTACCCAGAAAATTTCCACTCATGCATACATGTAGCGTCTGTTACAACTTGCTTCTACAATTTACTCCTCACTTTTGTACCCCATTTTCACGGTAATTACCCTTCTTTCAGCGTTACCTATCAAACGTGTACCCATGGAACCTCTACAACGCTAAATTATGTTTTTAAACACTTGGAAACTAAACGTCCCACCACCAACACTATTTAATGAAACAACATCGTCGAAATTCCCCGTAAAGAATCCAGATTTATTCTCCTTTACCTCAACTTTCCAAATGAATTGTTGATGTTCATCAGCGGAAAGCAGTGTCGCCCATACGCGACGCGTGACGATCAACGCATTAAAAAGATCATTACGTAACAGCGGAATATCGACGAATTGGACTCAGACGGAGTACAAGCCCAAGTCGAGCCGTCGTCAAATGAACCATAACGTTTTAATTAACCGATTGAACGCGTTTCGCCCCGCGTTTTACCGCGTCGCGATAAACAATCCGCATACATTACACCAACGGTTAATTAAAGCTGCCAATGTACCCAATTTAGCCCGGTGATCATATCATTGAAGCAATAAATTGGCTTGTCCTTGCCACGGATCGTAAACGTTAACGGCACACGTTAAACAGTCTGCATACGTTCTTAAGCGTCGCGTTCTTCATTAAGACGTCGTCGGTTGTTGGGTGAATCTGTGTTTCTAACTAATTACAGCTTCGAACGAAGACCTGACTAGAGTAGGTGCAGGCGGACTCTGGGCGCCATGTTATCGAGGTTTAGACAAAAATTTATTAAAGATAAAACGTTGGGTAGGGGGTTCTCCAAAGGAGACTTTAGTATTTTGTTCTGATTTATTCTTTTTTTTTTTTATTTGAAATGGAAGTACGATTATTAATTAAACGTGAAAGATGATGTTGAAGCGTCCACTAGCTGTTTTGTTATTAAGAGACAAGATCCTGAAGGCTCCTTGTTGGTGAACCATTAACTATAACACTTTATCTGTTGCTTGTACAATAATATTATCCTTTTGGATTAATGGTTATATGAAGCTTTTTTTTTTGCTATACTTTTATGAGAATAATCAATATTAAAGATTCAGTTTATTTTGCATTCAATAGTTACTCACACCAAGACGAAAAGTATCTACTTTTTGGTTCATCTATCTTGGATTTCGTCTCGAAATTTGACTATACAATTTTCATGTATTTTGATATGATAATAATAATGTGAATTGTCTATGTAAGTGTAGGATATACCTAGACACGGCCTTGTTCGATCATGCACTGCTCCCACGGTCAAGGGAAGCGACGTTCGTCGAAGACTGCTAATTTGTAAACGTCATTCATTGACAGCGATAAAATCACGGCAGACGCGGCTGACACAAATTCTTGCCTTGGAAAAAACATTTTGCATAAAACAGAATTCTGTACACCGCGTACAATCGCTTGCAAATTGGCGTTTTCTAACTTTGCTTCGAATCAGTGATTCTCAAATTTCTTTGGAAGATATCCCTTTGAATGTTTAAATTGTAATTTCTCAAACATTGAAAACATCGAAAACGAATTTTCGAAAACATTGCTTTGAATCGATGAAACTGTGACAAACTAAACATTAAAATGAGGTTTGTTTCGTTTGAAAATTAAGTAAATTAGCAATACAATAATAGTTTACTTTTGTAACGTAAATTATTCGTGTAATCTAGCTAATTTCGAAAAGAGCCATCACAGCCTTTTGCTATTTACACAAATTCAGAATAAATTTATGTCTGTTACTATTATTCAAACGAACAAGTCTCAACTCACAGAGTCATGAAGTAACAAATCACGTTATAATAAATTAACTGCAACTAAACAATGTTAGTCCCTATACAAAATATAAAAAATCAGATATTAGAAGATGATAATAATAATACACAATCGTATACGTCTACATATTTCACTATATCCTTGCATTACGTTGCAATTTAGTAATTTTTCTTACTTCTCAGCTTTTCTAATTAAAACTCCATCAAACTGCGTTGCAATTTTAACATAAAAAAATATCCTATCTCGACAACATTTGAAAACGACCTCGTTATTAAAAGTCCCAAAGCCAGCATCAGGATTTTACTAAATACTAGAATTTTATAAAACAAAGTTTCTTCAGTCTCTCTCATGGATATCGACTGCGTCGCTAATCTAATTAGTAACGATCTACGCGCCTAGATCAAACAGAAACTAAAATCCACCGTCTCGTAATATCCTCGTTCGTTAAGGACGCAGGTCGTCCCAGTTGATCTAAGCTTGCCCGCGGCCGTTATATTACCATGAAATCCAATTACGTGTAATAATATTAAATTTTTATAAGATTTCGCGCGCGTCGAAATCAGTCGCGTGTCTAGGGTCGCGGGCAACGCGTCCACATCTCTGCAAAACATCGTCGCCCATATTTTATAAAAAAATATATATCGATGCTACACGCGAGCAAGTAGACGGACTCGAGAGGGAATCGAAGATCACGTTCGTCGGGCACAATTAAACAAATTTATCCTTGCAACTTTCACTCTCTTCAGGCTCACAGGTGACGTAACGCGCGGGGGATTCCCGCGTTTCGTTTCGAACCTGACTCACGGTTCTAGTGGGAAAAATGGATTATTCGCAGGTCATGAATGAGAAACCTTATATATTTTAAATAAAATTCCGTTACTTACTGCATCGTGGTATTCGAGAAGACGACCAAGGAGTTACGAGGTGAAACGCACATTATCTCCACTCGGGGGATGCCTGTATCTCTGTTTGTCAATTGGCGTGTACTGCGTTCACCGTTTAGCTCATTGTTTCGACTAGTGAAGAGGCTGTATAAACTGGAAAAGGAAATATTTAAAAAAAAAAAAGATAAAAATAAAATATGGTGAAAGAAGCAACGGAATACGACTGGCACGAATGCCGCAGACAGACTGAATGCGAACGCGTATGAAGCTTGTCTCTTTCTCGCTCTAGTTCTTCTGTCCTCTCCTCGACCATTCTCTCTCTCTCTCTCTCTCTCTCTTGGTCTCCCCACCCACGATATTCTCCCCTGTTGCGATTCTTGCTCTTTTGATCCAGACTGAAATGTTTTTGTTTAATAAATGAAGACGATTATACTTTGGAGAAAATGGAAATTCACGGCTTTCAAACATTTATATTTATAATGCTCTTCGATTTAGTAAATTATTGTACCATGAAAGAAAAAGATATACACATCGAATCGAGTAACCTTCTCTTTTTCGAAGTCGGTTAGAAATGAAATTATACGGAGAATGTTGTAATATTGTTGCGGAACTCTTTCTTGTAAACATAGAGTACGAAGAAGAGAAGAATTTTTGAGCAGAGTAGAAATTATACGAAGAATGTTGTAATATTGTTGCGGAACTCTTTCTTGTAAATATAGAGTACGAAGAAGAGAAGAATTTTTGAGTAGAGTAGACGAATTAGTACGTGAATGTTTTTTTTTTAAAATCATTAATTTAAAATTATAAACTTGTACAATGTCTTTTGTGTAAGCATTTAAAAGAATAACTCGTTCAACTTTTTAGATTGAAGAGGACCACAAATATAAATGGTCGAAACATCTTTCATAAAAGTGTTTGGAGAGACAACAAGGGGGATTGTAGAGTATGTTTAAAAGAAAACGTGCATTTGAAGGGTTACAGGAGCCACACTGATACATTTTCAATATTTTTTTACCTCTAGACGCGTAGTACAAATAAAAAATATTATCGTGCTAATGACTTATGGTAAACGTTGGAGGACGATAAATACTTCGATGCTTTAACATGATAGACAAAGAAAGATTTGACGAATTAAATTTCTCTTCTTCTTCAGAACACAGAAGAACATAAGAATTGTTACGAGATGAAGCATCAAGAATCATTGATCGAAACAGAAGCCGAATGGTGTCTTGTATAAGTATCCCTTAAATTACAAATTACAGTTAAATAATAGTATCCCATTTGTGCTATTAACTTCGACTACAATTATTGGACAATAAATACATGGTACTCTGAAGGAGATCACGCTGAATTATACGTTACACGTAAAACAGGCCTCGTTACATAAACATTACATATTCATTTGAATGTTATATTTATTTATAATTAGATGCTACGCGTTGTACTAATTTATATGCTATTCTAAATACATGTTTTCTAACCATTGTAATTTCCCATGTACCGCACACGTAAACTGTAACGAATAATACTAATTCACTTTAGTTCTCATTTCTCATTACCAGAACATTATCGTGTCACAGCCAATTGAGATTCTAAGTGGCATACTGTTATGTATGAAGATCATTTCCACTGTGTATCTCGAGGAAAGTTAGTTATTTTTATTCGGATGCATTTTAAAGAAAGTATTTAGGCCAATGTCGTGCAAAGACGTCAACCCTGATGTTCTATTTTTATGGGAAACCCTGGAACGAATTGTCATGCGATCTGGCAAACGGAATTCCCATGAGATTCGATGTAAAAGTTCTGTTTCACTAACCCGACTGCGGTAAATTTATTAATATTGAATCGATGCGAGAACTAACGGCTAAATCGATGTTTCTCAAATTTCATTTCCTCGGAGGTCACGTGAAAAAGCAGAATTTTTAACGAAGAAATCAACTTCCATGTGTATTTGTAACTATTGTTACGAAAATAGATTGTTATCGTTCACGGTCATCCGACGGTGACCTGCCATCCCATTTTGTGGTGCCAGTTTTGCATATTTTTTTTGGTTTGCATTTACATTTTTCACGTTCCACGTCGATGGATGATGTTTTATCACGGTTTATCCGAGTCGAGCATTCCTTGGAATGTAAAAAAACCCTGTGCACTTTTGTTCATAATCAACGAGCCCAATTAGCGAGAGGTTCTTGAACCGGAAGTGAGAAGTAGCCATCATTGATCGATAGCTTTCCGAATACTGCGCAGATTTTTGCGTTACATAAATTCATCTTGTCCTTTTACATTTTCATATTCAACTTTTCGCATCAAATAACTATATTTTTATTTCTACTTTACTCTTTTTCAGTTCTGAAGATCTAAAGAAACGTTTTTATACTTATTTACGGGGAATCTTGTCAGCTTGTTAATTCCCTTACAACATTTCAAATCTTGAAGTTAGTAAACCTGTTCTCTAATGCTCGGTTCAAATAAAAGCGACAATGGTTTCAATAAACGTATCTAAAGTACGTTCTTTAAACACCTCGACCTTGTTTGCAGGTCTCCACCAAAGAAATCTCATTTATTAATAATATAGAATACAGTTAGCGATTAAAGAAGAACGGAAAATAAGCCTGATACATTAAAAAAATCTACTTTGAATACGTCTGCTTCAACTATCGTTCCTTTTGTTATTTCAACGCTATTCTCCTTCCACGAATTTGAAAAGCTTCCATTATCGCTTCCATAAATTGTAATCGACGAGGATCTATCGATTAAAACTGCATAAAACGATATTTCGTCCTGTGCTTGCGTCAATATCTATTATAAGACACACGTAATTTTCACTAACTCAACATTGTGTAAGAACTACATCCGAGATCAGCCTCTGCGTGATCTGACATTAGCTGCCCGCCAATTATACTAATTAATAGTACGACCACCATCGAATTAATGTCGATTACCGACTGCTGTGACATTTCACCCCAGAAACAATGGTCCCAATAAAAGTCGGTCGCAATCGCGGTGGAGATTCAGGACAGCTCGATTGCGAAATACTTGATAATTGTTCCTGGGATGCATCGCTAATTTTCTTTACTCTCTGATATCCAAACGATGGGTCAAAAAATTATCCAAAAATTAAATACGAAGAGCTGCTCTTTAGCTTTATCACAGAGCTTTGCAATTAGAAAGTACCTTATGATTGCTGTGTAGATTTGTGAATTATTCAAAATTAAATGCAAGAAAGTATTCAGCGCCATTTTGTTCGGTATTATTATTGGATTGGTTGCTTTCAGATTTTTATGTTTTCGATTGTATATGAGGATGGTAGGAAAATTCTTCTCCTGCATAATACGTACGTATTATTATTATTATTATTATTATTATACTTTTTGTATTGAATATATGACAACGAAGAACAAAGTAAATGTTTGGATAATTTCACGTTCGCGTTGCTAAAAGATATTCGACAAGGTATAACTTTCTTCTATATGTTTCTCTATTATTCTATTTGCAAGCATGCGATACATTTAATAAATCAACGAAGAATTTCTTCAATTTTTTTCAGAATTCACGAGAAGCATCAGGCATCTCGCGTAAAATGCAAATCTCTGGCGGCCGTTCCTCAAATCCGGTTTGCGGTATAAGGAAACAACTGAATAATAATCCGTGATGCGTTCGCAATCATGCTTCCGATTTTCAGAGGTCCCGATAAAACAATTCCAATTTCAATATTCATCGAGCTTTGAAAGCTGCGACGGAGTTACGACTAATCGCGTTGTTTCTGCAAATCCATACTTTCACAGATACAGAAATAAAACTGAAACTTGATTGAAAATATATCTTGTCTTCTAAACGGTATAAGCACGTGCATCGATGTTGATATTTTGTACATTCCTGCGTTTAGGGACATAAATGTACAAACATCCCCGGTTTAGTTATAACGACTAAGGTGTTTTCCGAGTAAACTCCGTTTAAACCTTTGTTCAAAAGAAGAATAAAGATTCCTGAACGAGTTTCGACGCATGCTTTGCACCCAAAAAGGATTCTATTGCCACAAAACGTCTACGAAGGCTTCACAGTCGCCAGGATGAATATCCTTAGACGATCGTTTTTCAAAGCCGGTTTTCGCGACACGAGGAAACAACTAAATACTAATGAAGCGCGGGCACGTTTGTGTCTGTGCGTTGTGTGCATCGTCGTCGTCCTCTTACATATATATTTCACCAGGAAGATCGAAGCTGACGAGCGTGAATCTTTCTACGAGTCTTTCCCTTCGGTCTGATTCACCGCGTCACTTCGGCTTGCTCGGCATCATCAGTTTAGTCTTGAGCTGCACGCCACGCGGATTGCTTTATCGGCACCCGGTGGATTTCGTAGCTCGGTTCGGTTGCCCTTATCGCGGAGATGTGCGTCAACGTTCTGCTGATCATACTCTCCCAATTGTGCATAAGTACCTTGGAGTTCTCCGTGGAAGTGAAGGACGACCTGGCTGGTGAGTACACAAGTAAATGTTACGTAGCGTGTCTCGTTGGATCGTCGTCTGCGTAGATGGAACAAACACAGGGTCGAATCGTGCTGTTCATTTTTTGGTGAACTCTGTTTTTCCGCGACGAGAGGAATTATGATCGGCGTATCTTTCATTCGGAGCGAATCGTCGTTATTGTACAGTCTGCGACAAAATTGCTGGATACTCGGTATAAATTTTCCGGAATCCTTGAATCGGGTTCTTTGATGTTTGTAAATATTATAATGAATTTTTCGTGGGTATTAAAGAGACGTCATTGTGTATAGAAGTATGGCATGGTATTTAGTTTTTAATTATGATTAGACTGCGGATCTTCATGCATTTATAGGAAATTTGAATGAGCAAGAACGTACAAAATGCAAACAGTACGCAAGAATATGAAAAAGATTGAAAGTAAAGTTCATGTTACAATATTTGCAGAATAAAATCAATTCCTATATAGGTTCAATTTTCGTAGGCAGTCTAATTGCGATGAATCGTGTATGAAGAGGAGTGTTTCGAATGATCAATTTTATGTACACTGTTGAACTATTATGTAAACTAATTAACGTAGACGTAATATCGATGGATGCTAAGAATGATTCGAATCTACATATAAACGAAATCCTTATTTACCAAAGGCTTCCAGAATTTTACACCTTAAATGTTTATAAAACTTCAATCTTCGCACACAATAGGTACAATAGGACGTCAGCAACTGGTAGTGGTAAACACAAATAACAGGAAAACTCACTTCCGTGTGAGAAGATTACCGATAACAATTCCAAACGTATAATCGATAATCGTGCACTGTCGCGCAAGAATATTCGCTACCAATACATTCAGTCAGAGATACGTTCATCTTGCATAGATCAGAGTTTAACATAGCTTTTCACAGTTTTCCAGTTACGATAATGTAAGTGATACGATAAAGAGAATTTTGGTATTTTTATTTCTAAACCTTGAATGCCCTAAGCTTAAAATTTACTACCGGACTTTTAAATCGAACTGTACACTTGCAATTGGTTTGTTTTTAATATTTCGCTGTATGTATGTCACCATTGATTAATGTTGTTTTGAACAAAAATTAAAACAGTAAACGTCAGCTGTAGAAATTGTTCAAATAATAAATATATTCATACTTTTTTAAATTTAATTTTGAAAATCAGGCTTCCAAGGGTTAAACAAAGATTTCGTGAAAGTAAATAACAAAAAATTAGATTTCATTTTGAAGCAGCACGATTGTCTCCTCC